CATTAACATCATCTCCATTGACCTTATTTTTTCTTCTTCTTCAAGGCCATTGTCTATAGTCGTAACCTGACTCTTCAAGTTCATAAAAATTATAATTCATTTTTTTCTCGAAGTTTCTAACATTCGTAACTCTAATAGTATTTTGTTACCAATGTTTACATCATCCATTTGAACCACCATAAATTTCTTTTCTCCATTAATACCAATAAATCACCATTAAAATATCACAATAAATCACAATATTTGTACGCAATTTTACATAACATATTTCACTTAATTTCACAAAGACATTCAACAATCATTTTTCATCCTTCAAGACTATTGAATCTTTGTCACCTTATGGATTGTAAATAACCCAGAAAAAGGGAAAGAAAAATAAATCTACCATAACAACACATTTTTGTTTCTCTAGGAAGAAAGAAAATATGGAAAAAAGGAAAGAAAAGAGAACTTGGAAATGGCTGGGAAGGGGATAAAAAAACAAGAAATGGGAATTGGATGGGGAAGAAGGTAATGGTAATTAGAGAGAGAGAAAGAGAAATGGGCTGGGTTGTGAAGGAAAGAAGAAATAAGTGATTTTTTTAAATTTTCTTTTGTTTTGATATTTTTTTTAAAAAGAAACATTTTTTTAGTCTAAATTTTGAGTCCACGCTCCTTCTACGCGTGAAATCATGTGTTGGTGCCAACTCAATAATTAAATTGCCACATAAGCTTGGTTAATGGTTAGAAGGACTTAAAATATTGAGTTTAAGGGTCCAATCGACAAAGAGTCAAGTAGAAAAGTTCAGAATACATACGGATATAATTACAAGGATCCATCAGACCATTTCGCCTAATCAAAATCCCAAAAAGATTATTAGAGAAGAAAAGGGGATGATATTAGCTCGAACACTTTAATAAATATATGACAATTAAGGAGTAAACAAATTAATTGGAGGGAGTCATTAAGATTAAGTATATGAATAAGCTTTCATGCATTCTAAGTGAGATTATCAAATCAAGACAATTGTCAAGGATTTAGAGTTTTTGCTTAAGCTTCGTGCGGCACTTTGACAACTTACTCACTATTATTTCAAGATCTCGTAAGCTCAAGTAAGCCTTTAAGACTAAGATCACTAAGAAGATAATGCAAAGAAAGACTTAGAAAGAACAAGAGAGCTTTTGGAAGAAAGATTTTAGTATTGCTTGAATGTTTTACACTTGAGTGATTGCTTGCTTCAAGCTTGAATGATTTACAAATGAATGTCCCATCTATTTATACTACAACCTAGGGGTTAAAGTGTAAATAAAATTTACTTGATAAGTCCCTTTAATAATTACACTTTGGTCCCTCTCTAGAACTCTCTACATGTTCTAAGATATTCCAAAGTCTTCTAAGATATTTTCTATGACATTCTAGAGTTTTATAGGGAAAGGTCTAGGAAATTATAGAGTGTTCTACTAACCTCCCCACAACTATAGATTCTTCTCCATTTTTTCAGTCCCAAATTTGAACTTTGAAGTGGCGGGTCATGACACTCTCCCCCACCTATTGATGCGACGATCGAGTCACATCGTCGCTGCATCACCAACCGAGTCTTGTCTCCTCGTACGCGTGATCAATAGTTTATTGACTCGGTCAACGCCCTTGTGCAACTCCTTTAGTTGCTTCCTGATCTCTTTCAGCTCGGTCTTATGATTTACCTCCTTCCTAGGAGGCAAGCGCCTTGGCGGCTTCTTTGGCATCCCGAATTGTTCTTTTCTAGAGCCTTCTCTATGCGTGGTGGCAAGGACTCTTTAGCACCCTTGTCTTCTTTCGAACTTGCAATAGTGGCGATAAGCGTCGACTCTTTCTTAGGGCTTTTTACGAGCTTCATGGCCGTTAGACGGACTTGTTCTTCTGTCTTCGATACTTTAACTAGGGGCATCATGCATGATCCTCCTTGCTCCATGACTAGAAGTCGTTGGAAGTAAGGGTCTATCGCTGCGTGGCACTCTTGGAAGAACTTCTTCTCTAGAATGATATTGAAGAGGTCTAAATGAGAGACAGTGAAATTGGTCTTACCTTGCCACTCGCCTAGTGTGATATTTACTCTGTGCGAAACTCCACACACGGGAGTCGGTGGTGCATTGATCGTCCTGAGTTAGGCGTTACTTGGACAGTAACTCAACCCCAACCTTGTCGCTGTCGTCTTTGTCATGATATTGGCCTTTGCAACCATATCGACCATAGCACGAGCGGGTCTTCCATTGACATACTGTGCATTGTATTCCTTCAGCTTTCCTGGCTGCTTGGTGATAGCTCAGCATAGTCCTATCAAGCCCAACTACGTCGTCTATGCGCCTTCTCCTTACTCTTGTTCATCATTCTCCTTTCGAGGTACCTTCCATAGCCGTGTGGCCCACCGTATATATAATAACCGTTTCTTTTGGCGATTTTTGTCTTTCTCTCTATGTTGCCATGACGTCCAGAATTCTTGCCATTGGACCTATAGGTATCATGATTCTTGGGACGTGGCCGCTGCTCCTCGACTTTGCCACGATCTCCCCCATCATAGTCATGACTAATTCTTACTTCCTCTCCTCTGGCTCTATCGGGCTTCTCATGCCTAAAGTCTGTCAAAGCTTCAGCCTGCATTATGGCTTCATTGATAGTCCTGACCTCTTGGCATTCCAACTCCGTTCTTCCCTAAGTTTGCAGCCCATCCATGAAGTGGAACAACATATCATCATCCGTGAGGTTAGGAATTTGAAGTGTGAGGGTGGTGAACTCCTTCACATATGCCCGAATGCTGCCTTTCTGCTTCAACTCCCTAAACTTGCTTTTAACCTCATATATTACGTTGTTAGGGAATAAGGCTTTCTTGGACTCCTCGCGGAATTTCTCCCAAGTTTTGATGGTGCACGTCTCCTTCCCTATCTCGGCCTCCTTGCGTCTCCACCATAGCATGACCATCTCTGAAAGATACAACATGACATTGTTGATCTTGTTCTCATCACTCTTTACCCGACTACACTTGAAGTAATTCTCCAAGTGCCACAAAAAGTTTTCCACCTCGTGAGCGTCACAGATGCCTTTGAATATAGGTGGCTTGGGAGCCTCGACCCTGGCCTCCCTATCACGGTCGGATGACACCGATCCTCCAACTTCCACTCCTTCCTTAAGTGTTTTCATCTCGACCTTCATGGTTTCAATTGTGCTTAATGCCTCCATGAACCTACATTCTAAGGAAGTGATGGCTTCCTTCATCTTGAACTCAGCCCGCTGGCGTCCTTCCAACTCTTTACAGATGTTTTCGGTCTCCTCAAGGGTGAAGTCTTCAAGAGTTTTGAACTTGTCGTCGGCCACATTCATGCGTCGGCCTAATATTTTCACGGCCTGCCTCCCTACTTCAATCCTTGCGACCCACTCCTCTCCGGCGGTGAGGTCAATGGCCTCACTCGCCAAGTTCATCGTCACTTGCTTCGGTGGTCAAATGTGGATGAGATGTTAGCGCCTCGCTTGGTGTGGGATCAAGCAGCATTTCCTCATTACTCTTTTGGTGCTTCTTTCTCTTGCGGTTCTTCTTTCCACCATCCAAACGGATGTTGGTGGTGCTAACGACGTTCACGTCTCCTTCGTTAGCCATTCTCTTAGTATCAAACCTCACTCTGATACCATGTTGTCACGGACTTAGAGTTTTTGTTAAAGTTCCGTGCGGCACTTGACAACTTTCTCACTATTCTTTCAAGATCTTGTAAGCTCAAGTAAGCCTTTAAGACTAAGATCGCTATGAGAATGCAAAGAAAGACTTCGAAAGAACAAGAGACCTTTTGGAAGAAGGTTTTTTATATTGCTTAGAATGCTTTACACTTGAGTGATTGCTTGCTTTAAGCTTGGATGATTTACAAATGAATGCCCTATCTATTTGTATTACAACTTAGGGGTTAAAGTGTAAATAATATTTACTTGATAAGTCCCTTTAATAATTACACTTTGGTCCCTCTCTTGTACTCTCTACATGTTCTAGGATATTCCAAAGTCTTCTAAGATATTTTCTATGACATTCTAGAGGTTTTCTAGGGAAAGGTCTAAGAAATTGTAGAGTGTTCTACTAACTTCCCCACAACTCTAGATTCTTCTCCATTTTTTCGATGCCAAATTTGAACTGTGAAGTGGCGAGTCATGACACAATGCTCTCATGTTTCACTTCATATGACAACGACATCTAATGTTTTATGTACATAGTCATCAATTACCATTTTACCCTTATTAATAATGAAGTAGATGAACTAAAAACTTAAGATTTTAAAAAAGTTCTACCTTTAACAAAGTAATTAATTGAGAGTAATAGTTAAAAAAAATTGTTTTTTCTTGATTTGTCAAAATGGACAAGTAATTAGGGACAACTATAAAAAAAAAAATGAACAAGTAATTAAGGACAGAGGGAATATTTATTATTTTCTAGAAAAAGTAAAAAAACAAACATATTTATTAGAATAATAATTTCCATTTTGTCCGCTGGAGGTATATTCACATTCCCAGTGGACCTATCTATCTGGAGTGCGCTGACAAGGGAGAGAAGAGAGAATCACAATGACAGCTTTACAGTAAGCGTGGAAGATTTCTACATGGACCTTCTCAGTCTCACGAAGAACCCATCCATCATCACAGTCCAATGTTCAGACCTACACCAAGCAGGGCGTTAACCAACAATTCCTAAATAGGTTAATAACAACTAATTCAAAATGGAAATGCAAATCAAACTAGTAAAGTAGAATATTTTTCCTATCTGTGAAAGTTAGTACAACATGAGGAAGTCAAAGTTCCCAACAGTTGACTATTGTTGTGACAAAGGTAATCACTAGTCTTAACGCAGTAGCTAAGGAACATCCAAATACAACTCATTTACCTGCCTCACTTTTAGAGGAATAACTATAAACGCAATGGTCATGTGTAACAAAGCACAAGATAAGGAATAACTATCTCATCGCGTCTCTTCAGATTAGGTGATGGATAACACAGACACACATCTTTGCACTATAATATATATTTAACAAAAGCACGCACATTCACAATGAATGTGAAATCAAATTAACAAGTTCGTTTTCTCATTGGGCAATACAATATATTACACTTGGAGCCAATTTCCCAACGATAGTACACACTACACACAAGTGCAGATGATGAGAAATCAGCATATAGAAACCCAAAAATTATGCAATTGTGTGCTAAGGAATGGTTACATATCCCATCAAAACAAGCGTTTACGACAGTCAGCAGCACCACAGTAGCAAGCCATTTGTTTAACCTTCCCCTCGCGATCCATAACACTATCCAGAACATAGCCATAATCATACGTGAGTTCCTACAGGTAAACCATAAACAAATCAATGAACAATTTAATAGTATAAAGACTGCCTCATACTGCTTTTCATACTATAGTACTGCTTAATAAGGGATAAAAGTCCAGCCTCTCCAGGTATTTAGGGGTCATTTGGTTGGGAACTAGTTATCCCAGGATTAACTATCATGGGGTTAGTTATCCTGGGATAACTTATCCCATCACTATGCTATAAATGGTGGGATATGTTATCCCAAACGTGTCAACCAAACAACACATCTAAATTTTATCCTAGGACTATTTATGCTTATCCCTCACACCAAACGAGCCTTAGGGTCAGAAAAAATCTGAATCATACAATCAAACGTGACTACTGCCCAAATACTTACCAACAAGTACACAACACCTCAAAAAAAAAAAAAAGTAAACAAGTACACCGTAATAAGCAATTTTTCTAGCTTGCTGATTGGTCAAAAGTCAAAACAGCTTGCTATAAAGCTACAGCTCTCAGTGAGTAAACTAGTTTTGAAGCCACAGCTTCCAGTAAAAGAGAACAGTGAGACAATTTAATAATCTGGATGCACAAACTGGTTGGAAATTGATTGTGCACATTATTCAACTTCAAGATATAGTGCAAACTGATGACATAAATTTTGAAGGGCATTCGGCAGCATCAGTATAACCATTAGAAAAGCTGCAGAACATATTCTCACTGTTCCCTCTCCAAAAAATCTCTCATATAACCCTTTAGTATCTTTTACATTTCCCACGATTCTTGAACACAATCTTCTTATCATAACCCCACTTTCCATAACGGACCCTAAGTTAATCACTGTTATCCAATGAGAAACAAATAGAACAAATTTTATCAAGTTCATTGAACACACAAGGAGTAAGATTTAGCAGAAACCTGCAAAGGTGGTATGTTGTCAGCTGCCATTAGCACCACTCTTGCCAAACCAATGTCATGATGGGTGCTTAACACACATTGAACAAATAAATTAGGTTGACAACTATGATTAATAAACCTCGCAACATTGCCAACAGAGACTGCATCAATGCAATATTCTGGCCCTCCGTCTGACGTCTTCTCAGCATCGTTGTGCCAGTATCCCGGCAAAGAAACCTCACCCAACCGTCTCTGCAGAAGAACATAAGAAAATGAAGTGAATAAGAAAACAAAACCAAACAAAAGAACCAAAGCCAAATGGGAGAATAGTGCTATTGTCATGATGCCTGATCTCAGGGAAAACTGCAACAGCCAAAAATATCAGAGAGTATGAAAGCTGGATGATTTCTACACGACTAAATCTTATATCAAGTCCAGGGAATATAGTAGTTTTGGAAACGCACCCTTTGGCTAATCCTAGAAAAAATGTAAATGACATAAGAGAAATATCTGAACACTTGCCTCCCTCCCATCGAGCCCTTTCATTGTTTGCAAGCAATCAATGTCAAAAACATAGTTGTTATCTGCTGCAGGATCAATCTGATCTGTCTTCTTCAAAAGACCAGTGTATTCACAGATGGTTGCACCAGAAGGAATATAATCCCATGATCTCACACCCCAGCCCTTGTTTGGAGTACGAAAAACCTGCTCCAATTGACAAAGAAACAGCCATAGTAATGAATACACAGCACTCTTCTGTATAGAAAAATCTGAAATCTGGTTAATAGACAAGTAAAATAACCTCAAGCCGATATCTCAGTCCTTTCTGAGAAGTGCGGTTGACACAAGCAGGTCCGCATCCACAATTCGGACCACATTCAAAAACAACAGCCTTTGGCTCAATAAGTCTACAAAGATAAATATACTGAAAATAAAAGGCATGTTGAAAGAATTCCACTGCAAGGCAACTGCAAACAGAATATTAATAAACTCTCAGCTTTGCTGTAAAGTACCAGACAAAGCTCAAAGCACTTGTCACATGTTGAAAGAATTCCACTGCATTGCATTATGATATCTCATATAACTACACTGAACTAACGAGCAAGAAAGTGTCTTGCAGTTATAACTTATAAGACAAACCAAACAGGTATCAGATAAGGGAAAGACATATAAAAGGCAACTCAAAATATTCTTTGCTCTATTCATCAGAAATATTTAATAGCAGGGAGCAAGGGACCATAAAATGCATTTATAATAAGCCAGTGGCAATGATACACGTGCCTTAGAATCTTGGTAACTGCACTACCTGCTATGAGAAACTTCCGCAAAGCGGTAAACATGTTTTGCACCTAGCTTCAGGGTTTATAGAAACATAATAATGGTCCTTATAACCTAAAACCCACAAAAAAATCATCATGAGAGAACAGTGAGGTTATAAAAAATTCTTGGTACTCTCTACTGCCTACAATGATACCCTGATAAAACCACCTTCCTCATTTTTCTCAGTTAGTCAACTGAGGACTTCCAACACAAATGGGAAATGGAGCAGCTAAACGAGGTACCCTAGCTAAATCCCCTAGAAATCCCAAGAGAGCTGAAAATATTTATTCTTATTAAAATTAAGGACAGACAAAAAGCAGAAAAGAAGGAGCACTATTATATGTGAAAAGGGTGATCAAAATGCAAATATCATAAAGAATTAAACATGTAGCATGAAGGCCTAGACAATCATGCCTTACTGTAGGCAATTGTTGTTAGCATGATTGGACAGATTCTAAATATCTGTACATATCTATGTTATAACTCTAAATATTTGTGTAATGATGATAGGAGATAGCATAGATTAATGTAGCATATTTTCAGAGATATTTAGGGATACATAGCAGATTTTTAGGCATGTAAATCAGAATTCTTTCTATTTAATGGAAGAACTCTCATTTAAGAGAACTCATTTCAGCAAAATTGACATGGTATTAGAGCCTTTTTTAAGTGCTTTGATTCTTAGGGGTCGTTTGGTGTGAGGGATAATACCAAATAGTCCCGGGATTAAATTATAGTACCGCTTATTTTGTTATTTGGTTGGCAAGTTCGAGATAACTTATCCCGGGATTAATAATTAATACCGGGATAAGTTATCCCTCTCTTGGGGTGGTATAGTAATCCCGGGATAACTTATCCCGGGATAAAATAGGTAAATGACAAAAATGTCTCTTTCAACCCTTTTATTATATCACTTTTTACATTAATGAAGGGCATTTTTGTAAACAAATAAATTGTTCTTAAAATTTATTATTTTGAATACAACAAACCAAACACTCAATAAAAAATAATCCCAACAACTTATCTCATCATAACTAATCCAACATAACTTATCCCAACATAATTTATCCCATCATAACTCATTTTCAAACCAAACGACCCCTTAGTGTCTTTCATCTGTGGTTTCTTTCAGAATTTTTTTTGAAAGTTTTGGTTCTGCTTACTGTTTTTTAATCAACAGTAAGTCCTAAGTATCTTGGAATTTTAGGCATCTTGAATTCTTAGTCTTGGTCATTTTGGTTATTTTGTATCATTGCATTTCTATCTTCCTTAACTTGTCAAGAACATGGCGTCATATCAATTTGAGTCCTTCCATGTCCGTTTCACCGGAAAAAATTACTCTGCCGGGGAATTTCAATTCCAACTATTTGTCACCGGAAAAGAATTATGGGGACATATAGATGGAAGCGATCCTACTCCTACTGATCCTATAAAGCTCGATTAATGGAAGGTTAAAGATACTCGGGTGATGACATGGATTTTAGGTAAATTGACCCTCTAATTGTTTTTAATCTCAGGCCATACAAGACAGCAAAGGCCATGTGGGATTATTAACAAAAGGTTTACAACGAAGACCATAGCGCAAGGCGCTTTCAGTTAGAGCATGAAATTGCTATGTATTCTCAAGGAGGTCTCTCTGTTCAAGATTATTTCTCTGGATTTCAGAACTTATGGGCTGAATTTACCGATATCGCTTATGCTAAAATACCTTCTGAATCTCTCTCCATCATTCAAGGAGTTCATAAATAAAGCAAGCGAGATCAATTTTTGATGAAATTACGATCTGATTTTGAAAATGTTCGCTCCAACTTGATGAATCGTGATCCATCTCCCACGTTGCATGTCTGTTTTAGGGAATTACTTCGTGAAGAGCAACTACTCTTCACACAAAATGCTTTTCATCAAGGAAATATTGTCACTGTCGCATTTGCAGCTCAGGGGAAAGGAAAGGGCATGGATATGGCTAGAACTCAATGCTACAGTTGCAAGAAATATGGTCATATTGCTAGCAATTGTGACAAGAAGTTCTGTAATTATTGTAAACAACAAGGACACATTATCAAAGAGTGTCCCACATGTCCTCAAAACCGTAGGGCAAATGCTTTTCAAGTTGGGATAAATGGTTCAACTACAGATAACTCGTCTTCAGTAGGACAAGTTTTTACTCCTGAAATGGTACAACGAATGATCTTGTCAGCATTTTCAGCTTTGGGGCTGCAAGGTAATGAGGTAATATCTAAATTTTGGCTTGTTGATTCTGGCGCTTCCAATCATATGACCAACTCAACTAATATACTCAAAAACATCCGTGAGTATAATGGTCCAACACAAATTCAGGTTGCCAATGGTAGTAATTTACCCATTACCAAAGTTGGGGATATTACTGAAACTTTCAAGAATGTTTTTGTTTCACCAAAGCTCTCCACTAGTGTTATTTCAGTTGGCCAATTGGTAGATAACAATTGTGATGTGAATTTTTCTCGTAACGGTTGCCTTGTGCAGGATCACGTGTCGGGGACGATAATCGTGAAGGGGCCTAAAATTCTATTGTGTTGTCTCATTTGTCAAATTTTGGTTTATTGGGAAATAAAAATCAATTTTCAGTTGCTTCCTTTGATTGTTCTACTTGTAAATTAGGCAAAAGTAAAACTCTTCCTTTTCCTAATTTTGGTAGTCATGCTGCAAAGTGTTTTGATGTCATTCATAGTGATGTTTGGGGCATTTCACCAGTTATTTCTCATGCTCATTTCAAGTATTTTGTGACTTTAATAGATGACTATAGTCGATTTACATAGGTGTATTTTCTTCGATCTAAATCTGAAGTGTTTTCCATATTCAAGAAATTTTTGGCTTACGTTGAGACTCAATTTTCCACATGCATCAAAATACTAAGATCTGATTCTTGTGGAGAATATATGTCTCATGAATTCAATAATTTCTTGCTTGAGAAAGGAATTGTATCACAACGCTCTTACCCAGATACGCCACAACAAAATGGGGTTGCTGAGAGTAAAAATCGTCATCTTTTAGATGTCATTCGTACTTTATTGATTGAGTCCTCTGTTCCATCTAAATATTGGGTTGAAGCTTTGTCTACTGCTGTCTATTTGATTAATAGACTTCCATCTAAAGTGTTAAATCTTGAGTTTCCATATTATCATCTTTTTCATAAGCATCCCAACTATCATAGTTTTCATATGTTTGGTTGTGTTTGTTTTGTGCACCTGCCTCCTTTTCAAAGCAGAAAAGAAGGAGCACTATTATATGTGAAAAGGGTGATCAAAATGCAAATATCATAAAGAATTAAACATGTAGCATGAAGGCCTAGACAATCATGCCTTACAGTAGGCAATTGTTGTTAGCATGATTGGACAGATTCTAAATATCTGTACATATCTATGTTATAACTCTAAATATTTGTGTAATGATGATAGGAGATAGCATAGATTAATGTAGCATATTTTCAGAGATATTTAGGGATATATAGCAGATTTTTAGGCATGTAAATCAGAATTCTTTCTATTTAATGGAAGAACTCTCATTTGACAGAACTCATTTCAGCAAAATTGACAATTGTGTGCAAGTAAACATGTCAGATTAGAAACACAAGTGGATGTTAGACACAGAGGTAAATGAAATTCATCTATAATCTAACCTAACATACTCTGACAAAGAATTGAAATACTGCACTTACCTTCCACCATCTTTATGAACATAGGGAAATTCAGAACCATTGAGTTTAGCACAAGAACAAACTCTTGGATCAAGACACGAACCATGACAGTTGCATCCTGTGGGAGCTGAAGGGAACTTTATACCTTTGGCACATATGATATCCCTGCTATAAGTCAAACCTGAATGTTGTGTAAAGTTTTAACATCAAAAAGATAGGCACAAATGGATATGAGCTATACTTCACATTGGCAAGATGTTTACAGGCACAAACTTATTGGTATCTCCACTAACCCTCCCATTTCCATTAGAAATCGTGTGTTAAACATTCATGACACTTAGAATAAGGGAAAGCTAATTATCAGAACACAAAAACATATTAAACGAGTTACTGCAGAAATTGATAAAGCTTAAAGGATTCCTGCAGTAGGTAAGATGAAGATAGAACAATGCATTATTATACCACACAGTAGTGTATGAAAAAAGTGCAACAGGGATCCTTCAAATATCAAAAACCAATCTGCTATGATCACAATTCAACACTAAAAAATACTTAGAACCTTAATTTAAAAATAATTACAATACCTCTATCCCAAGCTAGTTGTTGTCAGCTATATAAATCCTCAATATATCTATTCCGTGAAATATAATTCATGAAACCTAATATCTATTTATAATTTTTCAAGTTCTTAACATTCCCCTTCAAGTTGGAGTGCACAAAATGCATGCTATAAGTTGCCACAGATATAGTCAATTTTAAAGCCACAATATGACTTGTAACAATGCCTATCAATTGGTCATTTGAGTTCAAGAAACCCATCACAAGGCACCCAGATTCAATCTTTTGTCGAATAAAATGACAGTCAACTTCTTATCCTTTGTTCTTTCCGGAACCACTCGATTTGAAGTAACGTGTATTACCCCTTGATTGTCAAATTTGAATTTCATGGGTAATAGAATGAGGAGTCGATCTTTTGAATCTGGTGAAGGCGGAACTGTAGTTCCATTAATTTGAACCACCATTTTCTTTTAGAAAAAAAGAAATTGTTGTTACTTTTGAGTGAGCATGAGAAGAAAAGATGATATCTTGGAAAGAGAATAGTCTAAGGAGTCCACCCATCTCATTACCCATCACTGTGGGGCATTTGTCATTCTTCAACACCCCATATCACGCCCAGTGCCTAGCATTTGGTGTGTGGGCAATTTTGATTTTAGGGGCCCAACATTGGGTGAGACGGGTCCTGCTTTGAAACCATGTAAACTTACGTCTTAGGCCTAACTCAAACCTCAAAAGCTAGCTCAAAGGGAGGACGATTGTCCAAGTCTTATAAGGAGTCTACCCATCTCATTAACCATCAATGTGAAACTTTTTGGAGCAGGAAGAAAAACTTCTCCGAATACGAATCCAAACACTTGGCTCTAATGAAAATTCAAAAACAAATGTCGCGTAGAAAGTATCAAAGCTGGTCTCCAAAGAGATAGTGGCATCTTAAAATTCCAGAGAGATGAGCAAACCAACTTCCAGAGAGGAGATGTGTTAGAAACTGAAGGGAAGATGAAAAGAAAAACAATTCGTAAAAGTTTTTTTCCTGCGTACATTCACACACAATTATAGGGATTCTGAACCTTTTCCTCTATATACAAGGAATGGGTTCTTTCCATATTAATAATTCCTCTCTTAACAATATTTTTAGCAAAATGTGCATGAAAACAGAGGGATATGAAGGTCTTTCGAGATAACTTCCTTCAATGTATTAAGAACTCTAATCATTTGGACAAATAACAAAATAATAAAAAGTTAGGATGATGTTGTTTTTAAGACGGACCTTTCCAGCCGTCTTAAAACAGGCATGTAAGGATGACAATTTTGATCCCATACAGGCAGTGAGTTTTAGGAAGGAAGATTGTATTTGTGTAGGAGATAGACCACGACAGTTTGTGGGAGGGGGGGAGGGGGGGGATATATAATACAATGATTGCTTACCCTTAACTCTCAAATTAAGTATTTAGAACAGTATCATAGTTTTTAATGAGAAAACTTGGCTTTTCACAAAGTTCAGCCAGTCATCTATATAAGTTAGATTATCATGAATGCTCAGAAAATACACAAATAAGTAATTCATCCACCAATATAAAGCTTAAGATATATATCAAGTCACACATTGTCAAGCTGATGCATCTCAACTTCCCTGTTATATCTTCTCCGCTATCTTATCTCAGATCAAGCTAAAAGATAATAGTAAAGACAACTCCAAATTTTCAATAGTCACAAAATCATTTCGCACATTAACATGAAAGATCTTGCACATGTGGAAGGAAGAATCGAGAAAGCCATCAGAATAGCACAATATCAAGACATAGGTACTTGCCTAACGGTGCTACCGGTGGATCATCAACTAAATTAGTTGCGGGAATGGGAATATCCTCCAGTCCACCAGAAATGTCCTCACATACCAACCTATATACAGAAAAAGTAAGAGTCTGCCCTATTTAAATTCAATTCAGATAATTAATCAGTTGTATTCTATTTACCCTCGTATTTCAGAAATAGAGTTGGGAATACAGCCTCGAGTAAAATGTACCTGCATATGACAGAAGCAAATTAATATGACAAGTTGAAATTTGATCAGTTGAAGGTAAGTAAGTGACTGAAGGTGCAATAACAACAACATAACCAATGAAATCCCACAAGTAGGTCTACAAAAGGTAGAGTGTACACCTTACCCCTACCGCATAGAGGTAGAGAGGCTATTTACGGAAGACCCTCGGCTCAAGACAATATGAAAAAGGACATACAAAAGTAAAGAAGACATAGCAAATAACACAGAGTGCATTGCATAGCTTTCACACCTATATGTTGTAAACATATAGCCTAGTTAACTCTGTTGCGAGTCTCGAAAAATAAAATAAAGCATCATTTAGTTGCAATAATTTATAGTGCTAAGGCAATTGCACTACTGAATTTACCATAGCTGCAGCTAGCTCACTAACTAAAGTAGAGATGATGTTTCAAAGAACAAAAGGGAGAAGTATACTAAAAAATGAATGAGTAGAGCTTAACGAAGTTAGGAGATGAGTACATTACCACTAATATGTAGTGCTACATTAGCACTTGGCTCAAATAGAAGGCAAATGCTAGTAAAGTATCATGGGGAAAAATTATACATGGTGGCGAGCGTATATGTTGATACTAGGATAATAAATGCTACAAGAGATATAGGGTGTTGTTGACATGTGTGTCTTATGTATTCCTTTGTGGCATGACTAATTTGAGCATCATTCCAAGCTAGTATAATGTTATACACATCAATTGTTGGGTTGTGCATATCATTATATATGTTGTTGGGTGCATTTGGAACATGCATTAAACTTGGATAGTTAAGATTGCTATATTTGTGCATATCTTTATATGTTGTAGTCATTCATACTTATTTGTGTTTTTTATACACTACAATATTGTTGCTTTCAAAGATATAATTACACAAGTTAACAATAAGTGATTTTTGAAAATGCTTTATCGTTACTTTGTAACAAACGATCAAACTACGCATTGATTTTATACACATGCTACAGTGTCTACACCGATGTGTGCATCTTGTAATTCTTATACTGACTTGTACTATGCAATTTTTCATAACTCCTTATTTGTGACATTAGTTCTTGGGGGTTGTGTCTAATAGTCTGGTTTGAATTTGGCTTAGTAGAGTCTAGTTTATATTACCATGTAAGTTATATTATGATTCGTTCGTTTGATGGATTATGTTAGGTGCCAACAAGGTTTAGATGGGATTTGGGTCATGACATAGATAATACAACGTACATAGGGCCTGTTTGGAAAGTCACCCTATAATTGTATTTGGTGTAATTGAGTGAAATTACACTATTTGTCATGTTTGGTTGTTCATGGAAATATCTGGTCACCAAGTAATTGAATGTAATTGGGCAGTGTGTAATTACGCTCTTCAATTCACAAGGAAGAGGCTATAAATTGATGGTAATTAGATAGTGTAATTACAAGTTGATTACTTTTTATTTTTATTATTCTAAGATTTATTAATTTATATTTCATTTCCTAGTTGTTCTCAACCTTTACTTCATGTGATTCCATGCAATTTTTCATATTATCTAAAAAAATCATCAGTATATTTTTGTTAGTATTCTAATTTTTAAATTAAAGTAGAATTCATTGTTGAATAAAATTATGTACTTATGTTTTTTTTCTCTTTTAAATCATATTTATGTATGTTATGTTGAAATTTGACATAAGAGTATTATGTTAAATTATTTGTTTTGAATTTAGAACTTAAGTTATATTTTCAATTTCATTTGTTTTAGACTCAATATTTTACATTGCAACCTATGTTTTTAAATCAAACTTGATAGATTATCTTTTTTGTCAAATGTTTGATAATTTTATGACATTATATTTATAATATTAATCTTTTTGTCATACATGCAGTTCATGATGTTCATAGAAATTTTGCACTTTTAGTCTTTATGATTAATTGAATTAAAAGATACAAAATTGTGAAATATAAATCAATTATTTTTATAAAAATATTAGTTAAGAACATGTGTTTATTAATTGATATACTTTCAAAAGACAATATATATATCTAAAAATTCAATTTAATATCATTTATAAAGGCTCTTATTTGTCTAATATGAATTTTTAATTTAAAAAAATAATTTTTATTTTTAAAATTAAATATAACCTTATTATTACACTTGTGCAACCAAACAGTACACTAGTAATTACATTGTGGCAAACAAATAGGTCAGTGTAATTACTAAGTTGTGTATTTACTACCCTAGTAATTACACAATTCCAATTACCTGGTGTCTTTCCAGACAGACCCCTAGTGTAATACCACAGGTGGTACCGAGGAAGAGTAGGATACACGCAAGCCATACACCTACCTTCATGTGTAGAGTGGTTGTTTCCAATATATACCAAAATTGGCAACACATCATTTGGTTTGTTTCTCCAAAGTTGCCAAAACAAGTGTGCCTAAGACTTCGGAAAATCAACTAGGAAAAAATATATTCTTTTTCCTCAGAAGAAAATTACTAGTTTGCCACCTACCATGAATTCAAAAACTATGTGAAAGCTTCAAATTTGGAAGGAATTGTACCTTTAGAAGTGACACATAGAAAATGTAAAACAAGTGGACAACCTAGAGAAGAAAGACTGACAAGAATAAATAGCTTGAACTTTCCATATCACAAACTCAAGAAATATAGATATCTGGTCATCAGTGAAATTACAAATTTGAATCTACTTTCAAGAAGCAGACATTCAATTTTTTTAGAGAGATAAACGTAACTTAATATTCACAAACACAAGCTCATCATCCGAAAAATGATGAGACTGATCAGTTACACCCCTTTTGGGCAATGCAAGAAGCATACAAACTAAACCATGGTTCTTTACAATTTTCCTATGAAATCCACAAAAAGTTCTATATCCCCCACCATATCCTGTTTACACCAAAAATAGAGTAAGCTAAGGCAATTCATCTTTGATTTTTTGGATGTTGTTACTATTGTCTTCAACACATCATAAATTCCTTTCCTTCCATAAAGTCCACCAAATGCATGCTGGATCAGTTCCCCCACCAGTCCTCCTCTTTTCTTCTTTTCTCAATCTCCTTCCAGCTAAGCAACAACCCTTTAGTGGTCTTTGCCATTACCCAACACACACCCAAAATACATAAGAACATGTTCCACAGATTTACTGTTGTTTTGCAGTGTAAAAAACAAATGTCCATTGACCTCAGCCTCTTGATCACACATAAAACACCTTGAGCAAATTTGTCTACCTTTTCTCTGTAAAACTTCATGTGTAAGGCATACTCTCCTACATACCAACCAGGCAAAGCAAGAAACTTTCAGGGGGGGTTTAATCTTCCAGATTAATTTCCAAGGCTATAAATGATCTTGTGCTTGAGGTACATTATTCCTCCAGTAACATGACTTTCCAGTGAATATTCCTTTGCTATGGAGCTTCCAACATACCTTATCTGGAACCTCAGGGATATCTGGGAAGGTGCTAAGAAGTTGGAGCAAGTTTGCAATTCTGACTATCTCCCAATCATATGTCGACTCCACACCTGAGAAATAGTGGTTTTGTCTTGTTGACTAAGAATGAATAAATAAGGAAACTTAGCCAAAAGGCTCTCATACCCTATCCAGTTTTCTCTCCAGAAGTCAATTTTCATTCCAATCCCTACCTTGAGATAGGTGTTGACCTTGAATTAAGGCAATAATCTTCTAATGGTTTTCCATACACTCCAACCGAAAACCCCTAGAGCTTCTTCAGTGGTCCAATGACTCATTTGGCCATATTTTTCTATAATAATTCTCATCCAGAGAGATGTGTCTTCATTGCAAAATCTGCACAACCACTTCTGTAATAAGCATGAATTTTGGAGCCGGAGTTTCTTGATGCCTAATCCCCCTTGTTTCATGTTGAGGGTTACGTGTTCCCATTAAACCAGATTATCGCCTTTGTTCTCCCTGTTCCCATTCCAAAGGGAAGTCCTTCTGAGTTGGTTGATTTTCTTTACTACACATTTTGGGAAAGGAAACAGACTCATCATATATGGTGGCAGGGCATCTAGCACAGATTTCACTGGAGTCAACCTTCCTCCCAGAGATAGATACTGGCTCTTCAACCTAGCCAACCTTTTGTCACATCTCTCCAACACTTCACTAATACTTCCAACTCCTTATTCTTTGCCCCCAATAGCATTCCTAGATACTTTGTGGGGAAAGATCCAATTTGACATCCCAAATTATTAGCTAGCAACTCCATGTTGCCTACTAGGTTGACTGGGTATAGAAAGCTCTTTTGTCAGTTAACATGCAGGCCTAAAATAGCTACAAAGATGGTAAGGATTGCCTGAATATGCCTGATCTAAAGAACATCAGCTTCACAAAAAATAAGGGAGTCACCTGCATATAGCAAGTGAGTGACTACCAACTCATCATATCTATTCCCTTGTATCCGTGCCTTGAACCCCTTTAACCAACCATTGATATTGGCCTTTCAGAACATATGATTGAGTCCTTCCATAGCTAGAAGGAAAAGGAAGGGTGAAAGAGGGTCAATTGGAAATTCTTGCTAAACATTCTAAGTGACATTCTAATTGGAAATTCATAAGCCTTTATAATGTCTAGTTTGCAAAGAAAACCTGAGGCTTTTTGTTTTGTCTGAGAACAGCTCATTTGCCAAAAGGTGAAGACTCCATGATTTGTCTACCTGTTAGAAAGGCCATTTGATGAGCAGACACTAATTTCCCAATAACAGTTTTCAGCCTCTCAATGATAATCTTGGAGATTATCTTATAAACCCCTCCAATCAAACTTATGGGCCTGAAGTCCTTTAATTCTTCCGCTCCTGCTTTTTTGGGATTAAAGCAATGAATGTGGCATCAAAGGATTTTTCAAAAACTTCTTTCTAGTGGAAATCTTGAATTGTCAACATCAGGTCTTTCTTTAATGTTCCCCAACAAGTTTCCATCTCGTCCCGGGGCTTTGTCCCCATCACATAGTTTAAGGCCACACAAGACCTCAGTTTTTGAGAAAGGTCTGAGGAGCCACTCTTGTTCCTCCAAGGTTATTGTTGGACAATCCAAGAGTTGGAAGGTGGGTCTCCAATTTTCAGATTCCGAGTACAGTTTCTTGCAAAACTCTATCATAGTTGATTTCATATCTTCAGGTTTGTCTATCTCTTCCCCTCTGACAATCAGTTTGTCAATTGTGTTATACCTTCTGTGTGTGTTGTTGCCATTCTTTGGAAAAACTTGATGTTATTATCCCTTACTTCAACCACAAGATTCTGGATTTGTCTCCACCTAGATTCTTCATTCTTGGCCAATTTTCTACAATTCCACTATTCTAGTTACCCTAACCATCCTTTCATCTTCAGTTAATTCTCTGCTTTCCTGAGCTAGATCAATCTCTGTCAGTTTTTCTAACAAACTAATTTTCTTATTGATCAATTCACTGAAGGTACTTTTATTTCATTCCTTGAGTTTCTGCTTCAACATTCTTAGCTTGACATTAAGTCTGTAATCCGGACAGCCTTCAACTACAAACTTATTCCACCAACTATGTATCAGCTCATTGAAACCTTCAACCTTCAACCACCAACTTTGAACTTGAAGTTTGATTTCTTCTTTTCCCAGTTACCATTCCCTAGCATCACAAGGCAGTAATCAGATGTTATTCTAGGGAAAAAAATTTGGAAATTTTCTTCCCAATCCATGGTAAAAAGGAACCTGTCGAGCTTGCATTCGGGTGGTTAATACCTCTAAACAAAGTGAATTTCCCTCCAATTAAGTGAGTATCATGTAATTCCATGTCTTCTATCCAGTTAGAGAAATCGGACATAACATTGGTAATTCTGTTGCATCCTCTTCTATCTTCCATTTTTCTGTTGGTGTTAAAAGTCTCCACCAGTAACCTATGGACCATCACAGAGTTGCCTGACTGCTGCCAATTCCTCCCACCAGAGAAGTTTCTCATCCCTAGTATGAGGTGCATAAACCGCACTGAAAAACCAAGTGAAAGAGTTCTGGATGGATTTGAACTCATAGGTGACAGAGTACTGACCCACTTCTATCAGGCTTTCATCCCATACTCTACTATCCCACATTATAAGTATCCCCCTCTATTACTTTCAGCTTCCATATACCCGCATCTCATCCATCTACAGGACCACAATTGTTTGGCAATTTCCTCAATATTTTTATTCACCTTTGTTTCGTGAAGACAATAAATATCAATCTTCCAGAAAAAGATTGTTAATCAGGATTCTAGTATTCTTGTTGTTGAGCCCCCTTACATTCCAAGTAATTATTTTTAAAGATTGTTTATCAGGACTCTAGTATTCTTGTTATTGAGCCCCTTACATTCCAAGTAATTATTTTTACTTTCATTTGCAAGTTAAGCTTAAATTCCTCCCCCTGTTCCTAACTCCTTCCACTCCTTCATTAATACTAGACTTCAGATTTTTTAACTCATTCTTCCCAATTCATCTGCTCTTAGGCGTTCCACTGTTCTTCTCCAGCCCCTCTTTATCCAGTTCAGATTTTCTCTTGTCAATCTTCATGAGCAACGCTAAAGTTTCTTTTTCGAAACATTCAATAGCCATCCCATACGTGTTACTTAACTCGAGGATATGTGAATTGATCCAGTTCGATGCTTCTGTCTCAATCTTTGTTTGGAAATTCGGAGCTTGAGTGTTCACTGGTTCAGCTTCAAAGATTTGTTGCATTTGCAGGTTCGAGTTTGTGTGATTCGACTCGCAATTGCTATCTTCGAGATCTTTCCCTTTGCGTATATGGTATTTTCGATAGCCTTAGGGTGATCCGTAATAGCCCTAGATTGCTTGAATACATTCTCTTCCCCGAGCCTTAAGTCGACTTCTCCAATAACCTTGTGGCCTTAGAATATTCTGTGTTGCTTTCCCAGTTTCTGAAGGTCTCTAAAAAATTAACAGCCAAGTCTTTTAACTCTAGCATGCGATCTATGTCTGTCTAGATCAGAGCCCATGCTTTTACCCTTTGGGTATGACCTAGAGGCTAGATACCTGTTGGATAATAGCTCCCCCCCCCCTCCCTTCCTCTCTTCTCTAATGAAGATTTTTGCTGGGAGTTCTGACCACAACTACATGGAGAAAATGATGCCAGTGTTTTGGATGGACACCTCTTTTGGGATTTCTGTTCCATCTCCTTTAACTCTAATCTTTGCCCATTTGAGGTGATTTCATAACTGCATCTCTTCCTCAGTTTCGATCCATCCTCCACAGCAATCTCCAATGGTTTTAAAGACTTTCTGTGACCAGAGGTGTAACGGTAAATCCACTATCCTTACCCATGTGGAACTGTTACTGTTATCCTTTTCCAGGATTACCTTTGTCGTGATCCACCATTTCAATCGGAGTATCACTTTGTTCCAGATCCAATCCCCTGAGATCACTTGCTCCGCCGTTGTCTTACCTGCGAATTCAAACAAGAAATTACCATTCCACATCTCATAGATGTTCAATCCATGCGCTTGTTTCCAAGTTTTATTGGCCCACCTCCTGATTTCATTCAGTGAAGGTGACATTTTTTCCGACACTTCAAAGTTACCCACCAGACTTCTATGCAACACTTCACTTTGTGTACAAGAACTGTCATCAATGCAAATAGGTCCCCCCTTCATTAGTGCTGGTTTGGTATTTACCACACCTCCTTCCTTGTTCCTTCATTTAATGCTCTTCAGAGTCTCTGATATGGGAAGTTGTTTTCAACTAGTCTGTACTTCACTCTGTTTTCTTCCATCTTTTGAGAGAGAATGAATCTCCTTACATTGTCCGCTCTGATATCCCAACCAGAATTGAAGGTCAGCTGTGGGATGATGATAACTGATCTCCTTCTGCCACTGACATTTATCAAGCTGATGTATCTACCATAATTGTTGAAATTTCTCGCACAAAAAAATTCTGCTAATGGCTCTGTTCTCTTCCATCTTCTGACTACTTTTCCTTTTCCTTTCGACGTCTATGGAATTACTTGGACAATCCAGTCCATCAATTTCTTGCTAAAAGATGTTCTTGTGATTGCTTTCCTACTCCTTTTTGTCCATTCATACCAATCCCCTGTCGTCCCTATGATTCTCTCGATATCGAAGGACTTAAAACCTAGCACGAAGTAAAAACAGTCATCCATAATGACGAAAAGAGGGTTTTGAAGGAGAAAGAAAGTAGATGTTAATGGTGGTTTCCGGTGATCAGAAGGACCACCGGAGTGAAAAAGAAGGTTTTTGGAAAGGTTCAAGTCATGCCTCGACAATCATGCCTGAGAGTATTTTCACAAGTAGGGTATTTATGTTATTCATTGTTTTGTAGTCTCCCAAACTCCAAGAAAATCTCAGAGTGCAAAGAAGACACTTAGTAATCAGGGACAGGAACAAAAATTCAAATTAATCCATAAGATACCACTGCAAAAGAAGTCAAGTTAAAAAGGAAAGAAACCTGGTTGGTGGTCAACACAGGTTGTCCTTCAATACGCTTTAATCGGAACTTATAAACCGTGAATCCAGAAATACCCTTCTCCGCCCAGTAATTTACAACCTGCAAAAGAAAACTAAACAACTGTAATGCATGACTGCATCAATGCTTTAACATTTGCACAGCACCCAAAATCTACACCACCACAATTTAAAGAAAGTAAAAAAATTGACTTCCACAAACAACAGAAGGTTGAAAAGTGACATCACTGATAATTCTTTTACTTCTTTTCATCACTTCTCCTTTTCAAATTGATGGCCATATAACCCATTTAGAGAAATATCTGATATATTGGTCAGGACTGCATAATCAAACATGTTATAGTCAGAATCCACATCTGACCTGACTAAATGGCCCAATATCATGAGATTAAGCATATAAACCACTCAAAATCCTAAATCACCCTACATAGCCAACACCAACCCATCCATATGTTGACAGAATGTTGCTTCCATTTTCTCTTCTATCTTTGGTTCCTGCTAGCAACAGCAGTTTAAGTACATACTATTACTATCTCTTAAATGACCCATTTAAGCAAGCCCAATAAATAGAACAAAGATGGGAAGCTGAATGACAAACTGCATATCAACAGATAGAAATATGACTCAACTTTAACAAACACAGTCAGCATTTACATATTTCATAAAGAATTTATTTTGGGATTCAAAGATGAAGAAAAACAATATTGATTACCTTATACAAGCCATCATAGGTATAAACCTTTCCAACGTAACTATTTACACACCGATGTCCACGTGTAACCCTTACAGGTACAGATTGCTCCATACAGTTCTGCAAACAGAGAGCAAGTAATGTAGATTCAACAACTTGACCACTCTTAAGGATAAGGACTTAAGAAAACTAATGAGCACAACTATATGTGTAAAACTAAACGCCATTGGTTGTGAAGGTTTTTCAGCAGAAAGAAATATAGGAAAGTGCCAAGAAAATACCAATCAAGTCCTTAAAAGTAGGGGGTGGCATAAAAAAAGACAGACGTAGCCAAATAAGTGGGTGTTTGGCCATGAAAACCAAAAAAATCACTTTATTTGGAATTTTTGAAGTTGAAGATGTGTTTGGCCATACTTTTTGCAAAGAATATTTAGAATTTGAAATTACTTTTTCTAAATATGATTTATACCCCCAATTTTTTATAAAGTAGAAAAATCACTCAACTTGACTAATTCACCAGAAACATAAAATCAAATTTGCTCTAAGATTAAATTCTCATATACGAGCTATTACATACTATTGCAAATATGTTTTCACTTTATTTGAAATTTTTGAAGTTGGAGTAGTATTTGGTTATAAATTTTGCAAATAATATTTGTTTGTTTGAGTGTACTTTTCCTATAAAAAAACATGAAACATGATTTAAATATGAAATATAATTTAAATGGGTTATTATTATAAAAGTAAAAAATTTAGGCTACAATTTGACAAAGAAAAATACAGTAAAATTGAAAAAAGTGAAAGTGAAAAAAGTGTAATCAAGGTTTTGGGTGTTTTCCAAATACAACTTCAAGTTGTATTTGGAATTTTCATGAACCGCTGTTTTTTGAATAAAGTGAAATAATTTTCTGGAAAAAGTGAAAATTTATCATGGCCAAACGGGTATCAATTTTGATTTTGAAAAGTTCGGTCTTCGGTACAGTTTTTGGTTATGAAGTTTTAATATATAGGTATATCGGTTCAGCCGAAATACCGAACTATTGTAATTACAGTTGCTGTATATTGAGTTTTATAGTCCAAAGGGCTTTAGTTGCAGTATATTAGGTAAGATGCTAATGTCTGTAGATCTCTTATTCAAAAAGTTGATGCAAATTAGAAGTTAAGCCAACTTTTAGATAGAAAATAGACCAGTTTTTCAAGCAGAAAAATAGTCTATCATACCGAAGAGCTGAACCCATACTGAACAATATAAACCAAACCTAACTAACTTTGGATTGGTATTTGATATATACCATTGAAAAACCGAAAATCGAAGTATTGAATGCCCACCCCTACTAGAAATCTGTAACTTTATCCGCAAAACACCACAGCAGGAACACTATGAACAGATAGAACAATAAGTGTTACTATATAAATCACTTCAACAAAGCACCAATTTGACCAGTTGATCATTATCATATTTTAATCACACCTCGAAGTCAATATTTTTGCCAACTCAAGGTGGAAAAGAAAAACCAACTTGAGTTGCTTATCAAAAAATATCAGAACAAGATCACCAAAATCTCACCGGAAAAGTTGCGGCTGAAAAAACATTTCCAAGCTTTGTATTTTATCTTTGGCTTATTTGTTATCCTTGACATTAATTCAAAAACAATATACTTCCCTAATTCGAACTTATGTTTTCTTTCTCAGTGAAACAACCCAACCAAAAATCTCATCAAAATACATAATTTAGAACTGAGCATCTTTCTAACTGCTTATTTAGGTAATTATCACTTTTCCACTCATCCCCACTATTCTTTGTTGTTAGACAAACAAATTGAAAGCAAAGGAAACACATTAATCCTGTTCGACAAACAAATAGGTAGAAGCACATCAAGCGGTTGATAATTGACCTATTAAAAGAAAGTTATACTAATAGATTTTATAACAAAACTGTGTCTATCACTATTACTAAAGCGAAAGAAATAAAAGCAGAGTGACATTTCCTATTTCCCCTACTAAACACATGCAAGGACTCACACAGTGTAGGAAGACTCAGTTCACCTGAGAACGACATGCCCCTTTCTTTACAAGTCTCCCTTATGCTTGAGAAAGCACAAAGAAGAGAGGATAAAATGAGTCTTTCTTTTAATGCTCATCCATAAGAGTTACTGCCTTTTCTGCGGTTTTAAAGAACAGGTATTTGTCTTATAGAACGGATTAAGATGTTAAATCTGACTTGTATAAACATAGTAGAGGAAAAAATTAAGGTAATGGTTGTTAGCAAAATCAGTTAGATAAAGAAACAACACATCTAGGTCTGTAGTTTGGATAGTATTATGTAATTGCATTCTTGAGAGTTGTCAAATTTCTATAGAAATGGAACTGTATCAAACATTTGGAGAATCCTAAATAAAAACAGAGTCTCATGAACTGGGACAAAGGGAGTGTTAGCTAACCTATCACACATTCAAAACAGAAAATAATATATTCAATTCAGAATAAGAGGTGTTAATAAAAATAAAAAACAAAAAGTAGTTGCAAAGAAAGAAGAAAAAAGCAAACCTTAAGCCCTAAATTACCCCGTTCCATGACTTGATCCTTTATTTGGCGCTTGTTACCAAGAAGATCATTTCCACCTTGACCAGTATAGACCACTTCTTCATAGTTGTCCTGGTCGTCTTCATACTGTCCCGATACGACAATTGATACCGCAAGGGGCAAACTGTAGCCTTTGTACTCCTAATGATGTGAAGGGATCATATATATTAAGTTAACAAAACGAAAAGGAGAGAAAGAAAAATGTAGAAGACATTCGGGAAAATATAGTGTAATAGGGTAGAGAAGACATGTATAAGCCTCCAGACAAAAGAACTGCCTTCAGCAGCTCATGAGTGTACATTAACAACAAAAGCAATACCCATAGATACTTCACACATGAGGGTCAATAAGAGTTCAGTATCATTTTATTATCATCAAATATAGACAATGAACTGAATTTCCTGTAATAACTTAAGTCGTGAGCAATCAAAAATAATCCAATGCACCAAAAGAAAACCTTTCACATCGAAGGGTTATACGAGTAAATAGTTAATTACTTCATTTTATCACTTTCCACAGTTGATTCTCGTTGAAACTTAAGAACCATATCTGTAGGGAATAGTTCAATGCACTTCACTATGACTGTTCAAAGTAAAGACTAGGAAAATGAACAGCAAAATGTCTAATGAAAAGATTAAGATTTCTAGATGTCTTTACTGTAACAATAAACTAGGCCGTAATGGAATGTGCACATGAAGGATCAAAGTTTCCCTAACAACAAACCAGTTAATATGCATCCTTCATGATACAACTTATTTTCTTCCTTTGAGGAACAAGTAACATCCTTTGAAAATGTTTGTTTCTAGATAACTCCCATAAATGTCAAAAGTAAAAATGGTATTCTCTTGATATTTGAAGAAAATGAATTAGAAAAATAACAAGCAAAACATCATTCACTATTCTAGGTTGAGCAAGGAAGAATTTGTAATTCAAGATTGAAATTCTTTTAGCTAGTCAACTGTTACTCAAACTCAAATGCCAACGATATACCCCTTTTTTCCCTGCAGATTGGCCAACACAATCAATGCCGTTTAGCCAATGGTTATGGAATCCCACAACGACCATCTCAGCACGCGAAAAGAACTGATGACCAACATCAATGCCTGCCACAAGAAACTCAAAACTAAAACTCACTAACAGATAGAGCCACCCCAAAACATATTTTAACTGCAGAACATACCATTAAACCATATAGATTGACTGGATTTTCAAATGTAAAGGACAAGAACAAACGCTAATGTCGTACAGGCTTACTAGAAGTTAAATGATGCATAAGTTAAAGATCTAATCTCTAGACGTGTTCTATTAGAAACTTGTTGGTCCACCATCATCAAAGTTTTCATCTTCTAGAGCCAAAGTATGCCACATATGTATACATTTGGTCAAAATGCAAACATTTATTTTTTTGAAAATCAGATAGTTAATCAGTTTCCATTGCATTTTCTGCAAAAGAAAAAGGTTATATGCTGCGTAAAAAAAATCTTAAAATCACATTATCAAACTAAGAAATTCCCTCTTCGTATTCACTGGACAGGTTTGACTCAAACGCAAGAAATTATAATTGTTTAATACATGTAGAGATAACATGTTGGAACCATGAAATCTGAGAGAGAGATGGAGTGAACTTTTTTTTTATTTTCCTTTTGATATGGTAAACTTCATGACTTCAAACACTTAAGCCAAGAGTGTAATATAGTAGTAATTACAAATACATGTGTAAACAAAATACATAGAAGATGACGGTGACATATTTACTAAGCAACATCTATCTTGACTTTCAACAATCTCCCTTAAACTCAAGTTGTTCAAATTCGAGGTAACAAAGTATTTTGAGTTATCAAATAAAAAATAAAATCAGTTTACTGCAAAAAGGTTAACAGATTGACACATGATGACTATAGATAGAAAAATATTTACTCAATATAAATACACACAATAGTGTGGTTGCTGTCGGAACAGTGACATGTCACTGGACATTTATGAGGCACTGACTAGCAATTTGAACAGTGGGTGTGTAGCTGAACAGTAACATGATGCTAAATAGAAAGTAGAGTGATGTTGTATACAACTAATACCAACTAGTTAATGGATAATGTGTCATTAAACAGCCAAATGCACTGACGTGACACTAACTGACCGTAGCATGTGTTTGCCGAACAACGGCTGTTTACTGACCAGACAGACTAAAGAAGTGGTCAAACAAGATGAAAAACAGGGTTGCATCCATGAAAGTTGAAAAGGGGAAAGAGGCATTATCACCATGATAATCACTGAAAATAAACACAGTTACATCGGCTTACAGGCTTAGTTACCAAGAGAAAAACAAAGTTGCCATTAGAATAATTGCCAAAAAATATTATTGATGAAAACACAATAATGATGCAGCAGAAATAATCACCAAAAAACAAAAGACTCGGGAAAACTATGAGAAGAAGAAAAAATATTAAGCAAAAGGGCAATCATTGTTAGACAAAGCTACTTAAGTCTCAACTGATATCATAGAGCCTTTTAATACATGTGAAAATCCAAGTGAGAGAAGGAGAAACTGAGAGAACTAATTATCTTCTTTAGGTTGCATTGATAAGAGTACAAGAGGTGCACATATCTTTTCTATACGGGGTAAATGTATCTAAACTTTTTCCAAGAAAAAGGTCAGCAAATTGAAATTCCAATCCACTTAGCTTATAGAAGCAAGAAGTGGTTTTCCTAAGAAAAGCAAATGGAGGTTTATATAATTCAGTCATACACAAATACCCATCATTTGATAAATCAATCATATCACGAGACATATAACAAGAGTAGACAATCAACCTGGAAGGGAGCCAATTCTCTCACGATTCAAAACCTCCTTTTCTGATATCATCTGCAAGTTTTTCTCATTAAGAATCAATAGTACGAAAGTAGACTTACTCCAAAAGACTCAAATTTTGACAAACATGTGAAGCAAATAGAATACAACTTCTTGCACAATAATTAAATCACTTCATTACTATAACAAACAAAAGATGATTGGTAACACTACAGATAAGTGATGGAAGCTGTACCAATGCTTCCATAGACTCAATCGTGGTTTACAATTATAGCTTTTATACATGTTTGGTTCTTTTTATTTCCTTTTTAGAATAAAGTAGTTTCAAGTCATTGATCTTAATAAAAAAGAAACATCATTTATCCAACTGTTTGTTCCAATTCAAAATGATAAACAAGGTTCAGTTTTACCGCTATTCTCATTACTTTTCTACTCTTCCTAGACAGATTTACCCTAAGACCACTACAAAAGCATACATGGGTGCTAAATATCTTCATTTCTTTAACAAAAATCACGGTCAAACAAATTTAAAGATAGGCTAATAATACCGATCAATAAAAAAGATAGGCTAATATTATATCTCTTGCATTAGAATATTTAAAAAAAAATTGAGCATGAGAGAAATGAGTACTGACTGACGACTGCCGAGATCTATAATACTTATTACTAGTCATGTGGATAGGCATTATAAGTTTCAATATTAAAGAAAAGTTGAATCTAATCCATGCAAATTTGGAGAATCATGTAGCATTTGCCAAACTCTCAAGTTTTTCATCATTTTAACTTGGTACACAATCAGACTGACATAAAATAAAGAAAAAGAGAACTAGGAATCATTCAATTATAAATGGCTGGGAAGACCAAATACTAGAGCATGCAAAAGGCTCCATTATATGTCACTTAGATGACTGCAGAAGTTCAAGAGTCTTGAACAGACTCAATATAAATTTCGAGACACTGGTTCAAACTTTAGCAGCATGAACAGTACACTTTCACACTTCAAAAGTTACATTCAATCGATTTAGTAACCATCAAACTGAAACTTTGTAGTTTGAGTGATATATCTACTTGGATTCTTTTCCTAAATAAAAGTCACCCTATTGTATTTGATCTATCACGCTAATCAATCAGGAGGAGTGGCAGTCAATCTCGTCACCCTATTGTATTTGATCTATCATGCTAATAAATCAGGAGGAGTGGCAGTCAATCTCAGGGGATTGATCTGATAACGTAATTAAAAGAGACATAGTTTGGCCCTTTCCCCATCTACCAGTAGATACCAATAGTAGTGTAGACTACCAAATTTCCACGGAAAATGTCAGAGTTATTGATGAATCTCTACATTATTTTGGTCTAGCTCTAGCACACAAGTACATGGATCTGGTAAAAAGCATTCAAGTTGGTATCACATGTTATAGGATTATTAACACAGCCAATGTGGACTTATGAAGAAATACATGCCTTAGAAATCGCCTTTAGATCAGGCCGCTTGGAACTGCGTTTGCCATCATCTTCGGCTTCCTGCACAAATGTGTTACCAACCTAAATACGTTAAGGGCTGCCAAGTTTTGCATAGCTTACATAAATCAAAATGAGCAATAAAAGGCCAAACCACCTAAACAAACTTGGGCGTAAGGAGAGAATAAAATGATACTGAAATTGGAAGTTGATATATGTTTCATGGTTCTAACAACCAAATGTACTTTTCTAGCTTAACTCATCACGGGAGGGAGAGGGCTGACCTTAGATTTTGAATTTTTCTTTGTTTTTTGATCTGCTTGGACTCTTCCACATCTTATTTCCTCTTCCTAACCACGGTCAACAAGAGAGAAAATCATTACTATCATATACACACATGACAGAGATATGCTTTAAAACTGAACCCTCTCTTGTCTTATGAAATGTCTGCTTGCGGAAATTATCGGGAAAAATGAAATGGGAAATTGAGGAAACCTGAACGAAATGGAGATAATGTTTGTTAAATCTCCGTATAGTCTCTGTCACCCTGGCATGCGAACTTTTCTCAGTCCCGTTCCCGCTAAGCTGGGGATTCAGAGAGGTTTCGGGAACAGGATGATCGGTACAGTCATTTGGCGCAGCAACATTGGTTATAGTGACGTCATCGTTATCAACAGTGGAAACTGTGACGTCATTATTAGGAGCTTGAGCTTGTGAGGAAGTAACAACCTTGCTCTTCTTATAAACCTTGGGCTTCTTCTCAAGAACTGAGTCGTCATTGGAGCGGCACCGTACTCTCTGACGCTCACGCTGAGCTTCCTGCTCACTCTTCAAATTTTTTATTCTCGCACTGCAACGTCTCGGGACCATCGCATCATTGACAGGATCGGAAAGCTCGGCAACGCATGGAACCACCATCTTTGAATGGAATAAGAAGCTTAACTTTCTTTTGAATTTGTAGGGTTTAAGTACGAGCTGGGAGAGACTGATATGCCAAAATATAGGAAAGAGAGAAATGAGAGAGTGAAAGGCGAAATTAGCGAGGCGGGTTTCAAAAATCACCTCTTTTTTTTGTTCTCGATAGTCGTGAGACGCTTCATTTTCCCGCCCAACACGACTCTCTGTCTTTTCTTTTGCTTGTGCAAATGCAAATTTGGGTAGCTCAAATCATTTTTGAGACATTATTTTTTATTATATAAACTGGCAGCGAAAAATAATTTTCATATCATATTTATGGCTCAATTATTTTAATTATAATATTCTTAACAAAAACAAAAAAAATTAATTATTTATATTATATTTAATTAAAGCATACACATTTTCATGTCGAAGGTTGTAACTTTTTTGATAGGTTGTGATTTTTATGATAATGCACGATATATATTTGTACATACTACCCTTTATATGTTATAAAAATAAAGAGTTTTTCTCATTTTGGTATATCTCCAACTAAAAGCAACTTCTAACTTGAATGTTAAATTACTACTATATAATAATTCAACTAAAAAAATTCAATTAGTATGTCTTTTATATGTATATTTGTTTTTTTATATTATATTAAAAGCATACACATTGTCACGTTGAAGGATTGTGAATTTCTCAAAGAATTGTGATTCTTTTAAAGAGTTATAAGTAACTTTTTTGAATAATTGTGACTTTATGTCACAATGAATATATGTTTATACTATTATCTTTTATTCGCTATTCATTGAGTTTGATTTTTTATTCTTTTATCTTGATTTATTGTTACTAAAAAAAATTTAAAATCTTCTCTATTTTATTTTTTTTGTGTGCGCCTTCTCTTAATAAAAAGACTTCTTTAATCTAAATTTTTTATTTTAAAAAATTGATAAGTTATACTATTTAGCATTCGAGAACTAGTTATACTAAAAGACAGGGTAATTAGAAAAATAAAATAAGGTAGACTGCTATATGTTGTATTATGTTACCCTGTGAAAAATTATTTAATTATCATTTTAAATATATTTCGAGAATAAATTTGGTATTAAATTTATAACATATTTTATTAAACAATACAATTTTATCTCAATACTAAGATAAATTTATATCATCAATAAAAAAAAATGACATAAATATGTACCAAACTTTCGTTTGGATTGGCTTAAAAAAGTAGATTTTAAGTCAAAAATAAAAAGTCAAATTGAAATGACTTTTAAGTAAAAAAATAAAAAACAGAGAGAGACCTATTTTTGGTTTTTGACTTATTTTAAGTTACTTTAAACTTATTTTAAGTCGTTTTTTGACCTTACCAAACATTTTCTAACTTATTTTGAGTCATTTTTTTATTTATTTTATGTTATTTTTTATATCTGTCAAACACTTCAAGTCAAAAATAGACTTAAAGGTAGGTTTGACCAACTTTTAAGTCAATTCAGACATCCAATTAATCTTGAGATATCCCTTATTTTCTTATCCAACCTAAAATTATTTTATCCACCTCTCATATGAAATATTTTAGTTCAAAACTATAATTTCAAAATTATAAATTTCTGAATAATTTAATAGAATTGTGAAAAGAAACGCCCATCCCCATCAAAAGTAATGTTAAAATGCTTATAAAGAAGTCTATTCATAAATTATCTTATTGATGTATTTGTTATACGGGAATTGTAATTATATAATATGTTATGTTGAGAATAAATAAATTAATATATAATAATTGTTCTTTAGGAATTATTTATCACAAGGACATTTTATATGAGAATTTTTGGCTAAATTTTTTTAATACTATAGACTAAATCTAAGATATATTTTTGTGTTATCCTAGTGGATAAAAAAAAAATTGTGTTATTTAAAAAGTAACAAAATTTATCCTTCTATTAAAATCTATCAAGAAACTCAAGACACTAACACAAAAATGTGCCAACTATGTGTCTTTTTTCTCTAAACCTTTTAATTGTTTTTTCGTGATTGTCTTCTACCTTCCGAAAAGCAAGGATTTTGAATTCGCTTTCTCTTCAACTAAAACCAATCTAAGCTTCTTGAAAATATAATTCGTCGCTCAAACTTTTTTATATTCTTACCAACTTAAAGAACTATGATTGTTGAAAAAAATGTGGTACATGTTGTTGCTTATCGCAAAATAAGATAGAAGCTCGTTAGATTTTCTCTTCTTCCTCATTCATGTAGTGATTTAATTGGTTAATAACTTAATGTATTTTACTTATATACTTCGCAACTTCATTATTTATACGGAATTATTGGCTTCTAAGAATTATTAGAAATAATTAAACTTTGCAAAGTCAACATTAAAATGTCATTTACATATTTGGTAAAAGGTCTAAAAGATTTGCCAAGTTTGTTTATTTTCTCATTCTAATATGGATAATCTCATTATTGTACTCATTTTCAATATATAAAGAAACACTAGGATGATATAGAAGTTACAATAAAATGAAAGTAGGATTAAATTAGATTTCGGTCATTGTTGGGTATCTTAGCATTGAAATTGATATTGTAGTGACATCAATGATAGATTCAACCATTTGGTGAATTCAAAATTTTTGCTTTACGGAGGTGAAAGACAGTCAGTGAAGGCGTTTTTGAAACTTTTAAAGGAAAAATCACGTATTTGGCATGTTTTTATGTTGATGTTGTGAGTTTCTTGGCAAATTTTAATAGAAGTACAAATTTCGTCACTCTACCAACAATATAAAAATGTTTTTATTAATTAGTATAATTCTATTATGTTAGAAGAATGAGTAAAAATTGGGGTATCAACATGTTTGCTTTTTGTCATTAAATTTCAAATTATGGGTATCTTTGTCATTTTGTTTTTTATCTTTTCAAAGAGTACTGCTCTAAACATTACGTGGTTTTTACTTGCATTGCCAACAATAAAGTATATCAACAATACATGATTTTATCTATACGCTCCCCTTCAATTCTACCTCGGCCAAGAACTCCACAGATATCTCAAAATCAAGGCACATCAAGATCGCCCAGCCATTTGGACTTTGAGGTCTGTTAAAAGTTTGCCTTTTGTTGAATATTTGGAACTTGAAAGTAATAACATTTTGTTTTTAGCTTAACTTTTGTTTGGTTGTTGCATTTCTATCTAGGGACCTCCTCAAAACTTAATGTCTGGGCATGATCCCCCTTCAACCTGGAGGAACTGTACACTCGTTTTTCGTTGGTGATATCAAATTTTGGTCTAATTTTAAAGTTAATATTTTTAAATATCTTATTCATTAAATAGTTCAAAATACATGTTCAACAATTTTAATGCAATTTATCAATAATTATCCTTATTTTTAAAGATGTTAGAATTTTTATCAGTTAATTTTGATTACATTATATTTTGTCATAATCAGTAGTGTATGTTGTTAATATTTATTTAATTTGATTAAATCACCATTTTTTACATGTCATTGGTTATGTTTATTACATTGGTTAATATTTATTTTATTCGTTACATTTGTTAATATTCATTTGATGTTTTTAGTATAATCTAGAAATACATTTTAATATACATAAGATTTGCATACACAACTATTTATTAGACCATCTCCAACCCAACACCAAATTTTACACCATTTTGGTGTGTGAATAGTGTTACACCAAATTTGGTGTAACACTATTCATCACACCAATTCATTTTATTGAATATTTTAATATTATTTCATTATACAAAACTTTTTATCAAACATTATATAAATTGTATGTTTTAATTAAATCTCTTGTATATTTGTAATATTTTTATAACATTAATTTTAGATATAAAAGTTAGCTTTTTTCATAAATTAATTTTTCTATATATGACTTTTTTATTATGTATAATGTATAGTATTTGCTAGCAATTTATATTATTTAAAAAATTATGGTATAAAATATTTTATATTAAACGTATATAAAAGAAAATAATATGAATTATATATGGTGACTGGTTTAGAAAAAAATTGTTTATTTTTTGGTGTAAAATTTGGTGCAATGAGTTGGAGTTGATTTACACTAAAATAGTGCCGACACCAAATTTGGTATAAAATTTGGTTTTTGGATTGGAGATTCCCTTAACCAATGATTTTGACCCACGATTTTGAAATCATGATATTGTACGGTTTTTATTTTTATTATTTAAACAATTGTATAGTTAGGGTGTGGTGGATATTTTAAAAATTTGGGATATATTGTTTTAAGATTATTTACAAGTTCTTTCATTGTTCATTGTTCATTGCCTTTGCTGACCACCACCACCACCCCCAAACCACGATTATGTTCATTGCTAGAACCCCAAGTTCCACATCTTGTTTTCCTCCATAGTTGCTGCTACTAGCAGTTTTGATGAGCCACCAACGAGCTTTGAGCTTGCAATCAACCACCACCAAAAGACCTCTCCTCTCTCCCTCTTCACCACCATTGACCAGCCAACAACGAAAAATAACAACACCAAAATCCCACTCCAAAACCCCGATTCAGACAAAAAACAAAGCCATCACCACTGCTGCCTCCTTCCTCATTGCTCGAGTTTCTCCATTAATGGTGAACTCCAAGCTCACTTGCAAGCTCCAAGCTTTTACTCGCGGCGAACAACAACCAGACCCACAAAACCCCAAACCAAATTTCCACAAAAAACAACTAGAAATTGGGGAATTAACAATTCTTTAAAAAAGTTTATAGTTGGGTTAGTTTAAGGGCCTGTTTGTAAGGACACTTTGGTAATTGAATTTGGTGTAATTACACTATATGTCCTATTTGGTTGGACAAGTAATTACTTGGTCAGCAGGTAATTGGTTAATTGGTAGGGGTAATTACACTCTACAATTTACAGGCAGAGGCCGTGAATTGTTGGTAATTACTTGGTGTAATTACCAGCTGATTACTTTTTTTTTTTAAAAAAATTCTATTTTTTTTTGTTTGAATTTTTTTTACTTCTATTATTTTAAGTTCTTTTTTATTTTTATTATTCTAAATTTTTTTAAAAGGTTATTTTATATTTTATATTTTATATTATTATATTTCATTTTCTTCTTGTTCTCAACCTTATTTTACGTGATTTTATGCAATTTTTTCGTATTATCTATTTCTTTATGCCATGCTTATTTTCTCATTAGTATAATTTTATTAGTATTTTAATTTTTAAATTAAAATATAATTTATTGTTAAGTAAGGTTATAGACTTATGTTTTATTTTTTTAAGAAAAAAATAAAAATAAATCATATTTATGCATGCTATGTTGAAATTTGTATCATGTTAAATTTTTTGTTTTGAATTTATAACTTATGTTATATTTTCAGTTTCATTTGTTTTAGTAATATTGAATTCACTTGCACGTCATTTTTTAATCAAACTTGGTAGATTATCTTTTTGTCAAACATTTAATAATTTATGACATTTTATTTATATATTAATATTTTTATCAAACATGCATTTCACGATGTTTCTAAAAACTTCATACTTTTAGTTTTTACGATCAATTCAATTGAAATATATTAATTTGAAAAAATATAAATCAATTATTTTTTCATAATATAGGTTAAAGAATATATGTTTATTAATTAATATATTTTCAAAAAAGAATATACATCTTAAATATTTAAGTTAATGTCATTTATAAAGTTTCTTATTTGTCTAGTATAAATTTTAAATAATTAATTTTTTATTTTTAAAATTTAATATAATTTTATGATTGCAATTATGCATCCAAACAGAACATGTGTAATTACAATGTGGAATTCAAACAAGTCAGTGTAATTACTAGGCTTGTAATTACTACCCTAGTAATTACACCAATTCCAATTACCAAGTGATTTTCCAAACAGACCCCTAAGTGTGAGTGGGTTATGTAGGTGGATGGATGAATATGGGTGGATTTTAAATTTTTTTGTTTAATTAATTGGTCAAACTGGGTCCCTTCGTAAGATTGTGTCACACGTCCTTATTTGTTCTTCCGTTAGAGTGAATAACATATATGTTTTAGTGTCACATGTCCTTGTTTGTTTTTCCGTTAGAGTGAATGACATATATGTTTTAGTTTTTGGACGGTAAAGACATCAATGTCCCAAAAGTCTAACAGATGGTATCTTTATACCATTTCCACTAGTTCGGGGTATATTTGTCCCATTTCCTTAATAAAGGCACACGAAAGTGCTTAATTCATTGGGAGTTATTTATTGAAGCATTACACAAAGTGTTAATTAATTAACAATAATAATTTAATTATCGTTAAATATATATTTTAGAGGTAATTAATACTCTGTAAATGTTTCAAAAGTCTATAACGATATTTGGTTCAATGACAATTAGCTGATTTCATAAAGACTAAACGAATTGTGCTAAAATAGCGAGTGCTAGCCCGTGCTAATTCTCATCCAGTATAAACATGTACTTTAGATTCAGCTCATAATTTTAAAATATATATCGTCAAAAACTCTTTAATCTAAAGATACCCTTATTCATATATATAGTCAATACACATATTAATTAATTTTCCTTTTATTTTATATAAATTAACTATCATATCTATATCAATTATATAATATTTAATTTACAATATTTAATTAGAATAACTTACGTGTGATAAATCTATTGAATTACTGAATAGTCCATTTACTAGATACATGAACTAGTTACATTTATATATGTATATTCCCTAGGTTCTATGAACTATTTTGGATAAAAATGTATCCATTAATTTAGACATTTAATATAGTGACTTTTGAAGTGATTTATCAACATATAAATAAGATTTGTTATTTAAAATTGTAAAATAGCTTGAAGACATTACATTCTATTCTCCACATATATTAAGTTTATATTTCTTGTAGTATTATTGCCCATATTTTATAACATTATGAAAATTTTAGTAAAAAAATCGAACATGATATAAAATAATAGTAATAACTTGTCTTAGAGTCCGTTTGAATTGATTTAAAAAAAGTAGCTCAAAAAATAAAAAAATAAAAAATAGGAAGATGCTTACTTTTGATTTTTAACCTTTTAAAAGTTATTATTAACTTTGTCAAACAATCCCTAATTTATTTTAAGTCATTTCTGACCTATTTTAATTTATTTTTTATATTTATTAAAAACACTATTAGAAAGTCATAAAATAACTTAATAAAATAGATTTGATTAACTTTTAAATCATGTCAAACACGTTTTAGAACCAAACGAATCATAACGGGTCATCTTGCGTCCAAACATAGGAGATCCGATCCGCTGCGGGAAAAAAAGGTCCAGAGAAAATAAAAAGAAAAAAAATGGAAAAATGCAAAAAGTAGGCCGTGAGCAAGAAGTATCGGATAACGCTTCAACCCTCGGACGCCTGCCCTTCATTGCTGCCGCCTGTATCGACTTTATTTCAGGTTCTTGGATTTTAGGGCTTTATTTCTACATCTTTCTTTCTCATGTTGTGATTTACATAATTAGAGCCTTCACAACCCTATGTTGTTTCAATTCGATTTCCTCGCATCTGGAACCCTGGTGAGAATTATACAATCAGTCTCTTTGATATCTATTTTGGGCTTTTGGGTATTCCACAACTTCTTCTCTTTGCTTTCTTAAATATAGTAAATTTTATCAATTTACTGTGTCTGCTTATTAATCTTATATATTTTCTACTTTTTCGGTCGTGTAAACTCTGCGTGTCATTATCTCTCTGTTGTAATTTTTTTTTAGTTGGAGGTTGATAATGGAGCGAGGATTGTATGATTATCCCTTTACAGTAATCTCACTGTAATCTTAATCTTTTTGATCTTTGAAAGTTGACTTGATCTACTTCCCTTGGCTAGTGGCTACAGCCTACAAAGATATATTAACCGGGTCACTGAAAAATATCTTACTTGTTTCCTTAATTGAACAGGCATGCCAATGAGCTATTGTACTTTATGAAGCTTGTTTGTTTATTGTATTTTGCCTCTTCTGTCTATTTGCTTTTAACAAACGATTTTACCTCATCTGTGTGTCGGTGTACTTGATTGTATGCCAATTTCCACCTTTCTGTTTTACAAATAAGGATAGGTTGTGGGTAGTTGGAACCCTGATGCTCTTGAACACATCTTTTCAAAGCAATTTGTAAAGTTAGCTTACTTATTTTTTATGTTGTTTTTAGAAGTTCTCGACTTACAATTCATAGAGTTGGTCTCGTTGATCAAAATTGAGAGAGCATGATTATGTTGTAGTGGTAATTATTTTGGCATGCTTTGACAATGGTGGCTGATCAGTGGAAGAAACGTCTACGTGCTATCAACAATATTGACTGTCCTCTGGACCGCCATGGACTGAAGAAGAAGAAGAAGAAGCAGGGATTAGCAAGATATAATTTGAAGTTAAGATCCAACGTTTCTCTGGTTTGGGATGACAAAAAAAGGTGTGTTCTTGCCAAGAAGGAGCAAATTGGCATTTCACAGAGAGAATTGACTCCCTTTTTGGATTCTCTCTCACATCACCATAGCATATTGGCTGATGTTTTTACTCTACCTCATGAAACTTTTGAACTCAATAATTTAAGTGAGGTCCTCTCCCACAAGGTAACAGTCTATCAAGTTATGTATGCTAAATACTTGTTATTGGAAGGTATAGTTACCCTTATATCTTACTCTCTGGTAATTGATTTAGGTTTGGCAGGCAAACTTGTCAGAAGATGAGAGAGGATTTCTTACGCAATTTTTGCCAGAAGGGTCAGGACCAGATGATATTGTCTATAAATTACTGGGGGAGGAAAATTTTCACTTCGGAAATCAATTTCTTAAGTGGCAAGTCTTCCATTGCTTAATATCTCAATATGTTTGACATTCAGCAATTTTTCTGTTTTTTCAAAATCGGAACTTTGTAGTTGAGGTTCCTGTGACTTCTATTGTTACTTCGTACTGTAGAATTTATGGTGGGCTCTTGATATTTTGTTTTCCATCTGACATTACTTGGATTGGTTTTCTCATTTTAGGGAATCATCAAATTTTGATGGAATTATAGTTCCTTTTATATAAAAATAAAATAAAAGAAAGCTAGGATATGCTTTTGAATTAAATTGAGATTAGAGTTACTGATTTTAGCATCATGTTCTTCTGATGAGATTGGAAATTATAGACCGTGGAGCAATTGTTTTAACGATGCAACGAGAGGTCGAGAGATTCATGGAGAAAAAAAGATGAACAAAGGGTTCTCAGTGTTTGTGGATGTAGTTTGGTGTGATTATAATATGACACGTCGATTGTTGTTTAATGGGTTGAATAAATGGATTATGAGGATCATAATACACCAATGTATCAGCTGTATATGTGCCACATCCCTATATTTCTATTAAATAGTGTAGTATACTTGATATTGTTAGTATTCCAGGTAGCATTTACATAGGACCAATTAGAGGAACCACACATCTTAACTTTTAATAGAACCTAATTGACATGCAATCAACCTCCCACACTCTGGCTGTCAATATTTTCCCTAATCTAGTCTCTGATATTACCAAATGTTGTTTCACGTTAGGAGTCTGGAGAAGCATCTGCTTTCCTGATTATGGAACTAGCACTGCGTGATTGTTTTGGCCTTGAATTGCAGTTCTCTAACCATCTGAGACCTTTTTTCTACTTTCTTAGTAGGGCATGTTCTATCTTATCACCTGTGTATTGGTTCTATGGACTTTTGTTAAGTAGGTACGCAATTTTTTTTTGACACTAGTAACATTTGTATTTCAGTCAGTACTAAGGTAGTACTGAAAAACCATATTTACACAAAAGAAGAAAAGGGTCGTAGTCTTTTCAATGCTAAACCAAGATCTAGATAGACCCTAAAACATCTATGATTGACTCAGTCTCATTGGAATAGACATTTGTACATCAAAATTAAAACATCAAAATACATTTAAGCTTAACTTCCTGCTGGTTGTTGTTCCTATTTTCAAAACATCTATCATTTCTGTCTCTCCATATTGTCAACCATATACGAGCAGGGATCATCCTCTATCTTTCTCTGTTTGTAGCCCCAACTCCAGCCTCCTCCCAACTGAAAAGAGTCTCATCAATCTTACTAGGCATACTCCAAGAAATGCCTCTGAGATTAAGGAAAATCTGCCACAGTTGATCAGTAAAATCGTAGTGTGGAAAGAGGTGTCTTACTGGCTCTATATCCTTACCACATAAGTAGCATCTGTTGCATAGAGATATACCTCTCTTGGTCACATTGTCCAATGTCAGAATTGCTTCATTGGCTAGTAGCCAGGTGAAGCATGGCACTTTTTGTGGCACTTTGACTCTCCAGATTTGCTTCCAAGGCCATTTAAATTCTTGATTCTCCCTAAGACTTGCTTGTTTATATCCTTCCTTCACCCTGGGTCTTCCTTTGTTCTACCCATGCCACCATAAATAATCCTCACCTGTTTGGATTCCTTGGAAACTCTCCAGTTGCTTGAAAAGTTCAATCATTCTGGGAATTTCCCCGTCATTCAAGTTTCTTCTAAGGATCAAATTTAAGTAGGTACGTAATTGTGCACTTATTGCCCTTATAACTTAGAGCCCATTTGGATTGACTTAATAAAGTAGCTTTTAAGTTGAAAAATAAAAAGTCAAACTTAAATGACTTTTTAAGTTAAAAAAATAAAAAGTAGGGAGTGTGCTACTTTTGGTTTTTAACTTTTTTTAAGTCATTTTAAATTTATTTTTAAGTTATTTTTAACTTTACCAAACACTCCCAAAAACTAAAAATAACTTAAAATTAGGTTTGACCAACTTTTAAGTCAATCCAAACAGGCTCTTACTCTATTGTGTCAACTATCTTAAAAATATCCCTAAATCAACACCTCAAGATGTAAAAGAGGTTAGCATAGATTACCTTAGAGAAAATACATAATTACCCCATTAAAGTAAGACCTTGTTTTTTAAGTAAACACTTAAACTTTGCGGGGGACCTTTTACCCCCTTATTCTTATTTATAATAAATTTATTATCCCATTATAAGCCTAGGTGGTAGGTAGAGTGTAATTCACTCGCCAATAGCGAGTGAGCTAAGCCAAAAAAATAAATAAATATTTATTTAAACATTTATAATTAGAAAAATATTATTTTCTTTTCTTTACTTTTGTTTATTTAATTGAACTTTTTCAATTCATTCTTTTCCATTATCTTCTTCACCCAAATTCAAAAACCCAATTACCTTTCTTTATCTTCTTCAACTTAGAAGAGCCATTTACTCCACCCATTTTTATCACTTTTTTTCTTGTCTTTGCTTCTCATTGTTCCTTTTTCTCCTTTTATCCCTATTTTTTTAAAAAATAAAAATATATGAACTCCGTTATTCGATTGATTTGGGAGTATTAAGAAACTCCATTTTTGTTTTTATTTTTGGTTTGAATATAGAACTCCATTACCTTGCTTTAGTGACTTGAGAGCTGAACTGATTTGGTTGTATTTATTTACTTGAACTCTATTACCTTGTTTTAGTAACTTGAGAGCTGAATTGATTTGGTTGTATTTATTTACTTATAATTTTTCACTAATGTTTAATGTTAAGAAAAATAATCTATTGTAATGGAGTTCTGTTGCATCATTATTGTAATACTGCTAGAAAGAATCTAGCAGATGGTAGATTGGGGTGATTATTCATTTTTAATTTAATAGTGATTTTATCCATTTTAATCTAGATTTAGCAATAATTTGGTGATATTTAGTGGCGAAAATAGTGTTATAACAGTGAAGCATCATGGAGGCTACGTCGAAGGCGGCAATGGCTGCTCCGTTGGAGGATTTACAGCAAAGAACAACGGGTTTGAGTAATGAAGGTTGAAGAAGAAAGAGGAAAAAATGAAAATAAAGTGAAATAAATTAGAAAAAATGAAAATGAAACTAAAAATTAAGAGTTACACAAATTTAATACGTGGCAAACAACAATTGGTGCGTGATTGCACTTTTTTTCTTGCAATTGAGGTTTGGCGAAAAGTGGGATATTTATAACACTCTTAAATTGTTTATGGGGGTACTAGGACCCCCACAAAGTTCAGGTGTCTCTTTTGAAAAACAGGTCTTACTTTAATGGGGTAATTTATTTTCTCATTACCTTATAATAAGTTAGTATGTTTCATGATCATTTGTACCAGAGCCATAGCTGTCACACGTCCATATTTTAAGCATATCCTTTCTGCATAGCATGTATAGATACTTTTAACTCTTTTCATTTTCAAGTGCTTAATACTTCTGATTGGAGAGATTTTGGGCTATGGTTGAAACATTGGGATAATCTACCTTTGAAAGTACTTTTCTGTTTCCATTTATAGTTTACTATGCAGGCCTACCTTTGCATATATTTGGGACAGGTGAGATTTAACCCTTCACATGGATGGTCTGAGAATCTCATATTATCAAAATCTCTGGCATCTTTGCAGGGGTCAGATGATTTGTTCTGGTAGCTTTCACCCTGATAATGTTATGCGTCAGGAGCAGCTTTTCAAGTCTAACAAGAAGGCATATTACATGGAATTACAAAATTACCATGACAAGTATGCAGTTTTCTCAACTGTATTTTTCTTAACCTTTAGAACATTTTATTGTTTGCATTACATTCTACTTCTCGTGGCAGTATGATTGGGAAGTTGCAGTTATGGAAGGAAAGTTTGGAGAGCTGTAAAGACTCGGAAGAGGAAATGGTGGAGAGAATATTGAGGTGGTTTTCTTTCATTATCTTATGGTCTAGGTTATTTTCGTTTGGTTACCCTACCTTTTCAAAAAAATTTCTAGGTTTATTTAAGAAAATGAGGCACAATACGTCGGAACCCCTCATAAACTTGACACATTTTATCAAGTGAGCACTCAAACTTTGTCTAGTCACTAATGACCTCCTTGGACTTGGCATTTCGATAGCCTCGACTCTCCTAACCAATCTCACCTGATGGGCATGGGCTGCCACACATTTTTCTGTGAACGTGGCATTTTTTTTTGAAATAACATATTTTATTATATTTTTAATTTGTTAACTTATGAATGTTTGAATCATTTTTTTTTCAGGCTAAGTTTGTAAAACAACTTGATTGAAACTCCATTAGTTAGGCTGATATTTTTTGTTTAGCTAAAAGTATTAAGAGTGTCAGCCAATTTTTTTTCCTCTATCTGGATTTGGCCCAAAAAAAAGAAGACAAGAAAAATAAAACAAATACATAGTCAGAACTCAAATATTTTGTATTGAAATTTTTTATTTGAGTAAAAACAATGGAGCCCTAGCAACTTCCTTTTACTGCATTTGGCCCAAAAAAAATAAAGTTAGAACAAATAGCCGTTGCATAACTACAACAACATCATACCCCTCATAGTCCCATAAAGTTGGAGTTGGGAGAGGGTAGAATGAACACATACCTTATCCCTACTTTGGTGGTTGAAAGGCTGTTTCCTTTAGACCCTTGGTTCATCGAAAAACAATTCAAAGTAGTGCGGAAAAAGAAATAACGTAAGTGAAGAAGCCATGACAAATTACTACAGAAAGCATGACAAAACATTCTTAATTGTAGTTGCTACAAAATAATACGACAATCGAAGTAGTTACGAGAAACAACAAATAGTAACAAAAATCTAAGGACTAGTAACTACAAGAGTAATGATGCGATTACTAGTATGGAAGGATAAGTGAGACAAAAGTCTACTATCTACTAATTTTCTACCCTATCTCCACAACCTCTTATCAAGTCCTCAATAAGTTTAAACTGGACAATATCTTGTCTGATGACCTCTCCGGCTCTCCCAATACTTCTTCTCCCACCTTTACCCCTTCATTAACCATCCATAGCCACCCTCTAACACCTCTGGGGCATCTGTGCATCTCCTCTTCACATGCTCAAACCATCTCAACCTTGCTTTCCACATTTTGTCCTCCACCTAAAGGGTCCTCATTTTCGCAAACTTTCATCTTCTGAACGTGCGAGTCTTGACTGACCAGTTCTTTGGCTCATACACCATAGTTTTTCTAACCACCACTCTGTAGAACTTATCCTTAAATTTTGGTGCACCTTCTTATCACACAATACTTCGGATGTGATCCTCTTTTTCATCCACCTTGCACCAATACGGTGTGTGACATCTGTGAGAAATATAGGAAAAAAATATTATTGAATTGTTGTGTTGTTTACATTATTACATTGAGATCCTATTTATAGACCCTAGAATACAATCCTTTACCAAGTAGGATACTATTTAGTATTCCTATTTCTATTTCTATTTCTATTACTATTCTTATTCTAATAGGATTGTATAAACCTATTTCTATTCTAATAGGATTGTATAAACATATTCCTATTCTAATAGGATCGTATAAACCTATTCCTATTCTAACACTCCCCCTCAAGCTAGTGCATACAATTCATGTACCTAGCTTGTTACAGATGTAATTAACACGAGGACTGATGAGGGGCTTAGTGAGATATCTGCAAGTTGATCACTCGACTTCACAAAATTGACAATCAATCTCAATGTGCTTGGTCTTCTCATGAAATACTGAATTTGATGCATAATGCCAATAAAACACAGAGTAATAAAATTACAGTGTTGGAACTTCCCAAACCAAGCATGCAAAGACTGTTTCAGACCATAGAGTGACTTACGTAATCAACATACAAGGCTACTAAACTCCCCCTGAGCAACAAAATTAGGTGGTTGCTCCATATAGACTTCTTCACAATGCAACGGTCGTTGTAAGTGCTCAAAATCTAGTATAAAGTATATGGATCATGTTGAAATCAATAGACGAGTCGATATCAAACAAGTCACCGAAAAACTGGCCAGAACATGCTCATATGCCGGAGTATTAGATTTGATGGCTAAAAGTGGTCACAATCTAAGAAATAAAATTATATGGGTAGGGTTGGAATGATGTCACAACCCAACTAGAAAATAGAAATAATATAGGATAGTTCGAATTGATGGAACGACCCCATTGAAAAAGATAAATATTATGGGTAGGGTCGGAATGATGGCACGACCCTGCTGAAAAAGAAAAATTATACGGGTAGGGTTGGAATGATGGCACAACCCTACGCAAATCAGATTTGAGGAGTTACCGGAAAGACAAATGGAACTATGCAAATCAAATCTGAGGAGTCACTAAAAAGACACATGATGCTATGCAACTCATATATGAGAAAATAGTTCAGAAAAATCCACGGTACTACACAAATCAAATATGAAAAGTAGTCTGGAGAGATGCACGGTGTTACGCAAATCAGATATGTTAAAAAAAGGTAGTCACCGGAAGCATGTCACTGTGCTACACAAATTATATATGAAAAAGTAGTCACTGGAATGATGGCACAGTGCTACACAAATTAAATATGAAAAAGTAGTCACCGGAATGATGGCACGGTGCTACAAAAATTAAATATGAAAAAGTAGTCACCGGAATGATGGCACGGTGCTTCACAAATTAGATATAAGAAAGTAGTCACTGACCCAACTTTTGCTAACATAATTGTTGGCCAGACGGGCAACATATATGAGTAATAGTCGCCCGCCGGCAGCGAAAGCTCTTAGATTTTCTACCAAGATCGTAGAGGCCCATTATCCACCGAGTTTAGAAGGCTGTGATTGGTCCAAAGGGCGGGTCACAGACAGATTTCTCGGTTATCAAAAAAAAAAAAGACAAACTAATCTAAAAGATCAATTCCCTGATCTTTACATCTTAAGCCTTCAAAAAAAAAAAATTCACTCTCACAGATATGGAGAATCTATCCACGGGAGGGCCTTAAATGATTGGGAAATTGATGGAGTCTCATGCATGTTACAAGTTTTGAACACCTTCTCAGCACCTCAAGGCTCAACTGACATAGATAGACAAGTTTGTATGTTGTGCATCAAAGGGAATTTTTCAGTTAAGTAAGCCTTTTTGGAATCTAAACAATGTAACCTCCTTGACAGCTTTGTGGCCTTGGAAACTCATACGGAAGGTCAAATTTCTCCTCGAAGTTTCATGCTTTTTATGGTTGGTTGTTAGAAGAGCTTGCTCAACTCATGACGTCCTACAAAGAAGAGGTTTCAGATTTGCTCAAGATGCTTGCTATGTGACAGGATGCAGAAAACAAGGAGTATATGTTCTTACATTGCAAGACAACTGCAAATCTGTGGTAGATGTTCTTTTGTATCTTGGAGTGAGTTGGGTAATACAACCATAAGTGCTAAGTACATCTCTAGTGATCCACTGATTCATTAAGCCATACTTATAGGTTATGAATCTTCTTCTCCATAGAGCTAAGTCTTCCCTACTGAATCTCTATGCCCATTTTTGAAGCAGACTTCTGTTATGTAAACTGAGATTTCTTATGCCCCCCTTCCTTACTGTGAGTCAGTGAGTCAAACTTTACCAGGTTATAGCCTTTTTTCTCCTTGTTTCTTTTTTAGTTGGGAAAAGTCGTCATTGCATTTGCAGAAGAATGAAAAGAAATGCACAGCTAGAACTTCATTATTTCGGTTAAAACTTTCTTTTATTGGGAGTTGACTAGGGTGAACTCCTTTTTCACTTATCTGGAGACTTGGGGTGGCTTACAGGAAGGGCTTGACAAACTCTGGTGGGATGGTCAGTTGGTCACAGCAGTGGGAACTTTAAGGTGAACATAGCATACAAAGATTTGAACCATACCTGCATCAGATTGAATGCTGGCCCTAGAATCATATTTGGAAGACAAAGATTCCTTTCAAAGTCTCTTGATTTTGTATGGCTTCTGTCTAGAGAAGCTGTCCTCACTCAGACAACCTGATGGGAAAAGGGATAACTATATGTCCCAGATTGCTGCTTAAGCGGGGAAACAACTGAGACTGTAAAACATCTCTTTCTCCACTGCAAGGTAATAGGACAAGTATGGAGGATTTTTTTTGGCTTCCTGAGGAATCACTTGGATAATGCCACGTAACGTTGCAGCAACCTTGTTACGCTGGGAACAAGCAGGAAGGGAGACTTTGAGACGGAGCAAGATGGAGAATTATACTAGCATGCATATGGTGGACAGTTTGGAAAGAAAGGAATTCAAGGTGCTTTGAGAATAGGAGCAACACAGTTCAACAGATAAAAATGAACTTTAATTTGCATTTTTGTTTTGGTGTAGACTGTAGACTATCCTACTCTGTAGAAGCTGTAGAAGTTCTGGATATACTAGACACCATTTTAGGTTTTAGAATAGCTGCAGGTTCTTAGAGTTCTTTTGTTGTAAATAGGGACCAGACTCAGGGAGCACTGTGTAATTATGAATCATTTATAGAAATATACAAAATTAGCCGTTTAAAAAAAAAACAATAGAGTTTCAGCCATATCTTTACAGATTTGGCCCAAAATAAAGAAGAAAAACATAATTAAACTAACTGCCATTGCATCTAAAGAGGAAATAAAAAGAAATGCTAAGTTGTGATAATTGTGCATTGTATCTATTAAGAAGAATACAGAATTGGAACAAATAAAGCATTTTATATGATTTTGCGGCAATTAACGGGTGAAAATACCCCTCTTAGAAGTTGATTTTTTGATTTTTCAATCCCAAGAGCCTAAAGAGCATGGATACATGCTCTTTGACACATTCATCAAGGAGGGTTGAGGCTATCAAATTGCAAGTTTCCGAGGATAATCATGATAAAAAATAGTTCAGAGGTGCACTGAATAAAATATATCAAGTTTACGGTAACCTGATATATTCTGCCAATAAAGGATTACTCTACAATAACAACATACCCAGTGTAATTCCACGAGTGGGGTGTGGGGTCTGGGAAGGTAGAGTGTACACAATCCTCATCCCTACCTTGGGATAACTCAGAAGAAATATTGAAATCTGTTGACAACTGCACTAAGTTATGCCATAATAGGAGATTGTTGCAACAATCGTTTTTGTTATTTCTCCTTGATATTGTTGTTCTGGGGGTGAGCTTAACTTTCTTGGCTATCAATAAAATCTGCTTGATAAAGGTAGCTGGAAGAGAATTGATTAAAGTAAGAAGCAAAGGTGAAAAGATAAAATGAGCTTACATTATAACTTAAAAATTCTGTTTGTATGTATATTTGTGTAATTTTTAAATGATAATTGTTTTTTTCCCATTATAAGGGTCATAACAGTCACATGCCTTTCTTTGGGTATTCAGAAAGGGCTTGACGGAAGGCACATATGGCAGTTCGCCTGATGGAGCTAAGATGGCTGCAAGATCCAGGAAAGGAGAAAAACTAAACAAGCGGAATATCCAACACAGCGATGGTGCCAAATACATGTCTTATATTAAGGTATACATTTACCTGATTAAAAAAACATGTCTTATATTAAGGTGGCTATGCTTTGGTTGGAACATCTTACGAGTCTATTGAAAATATTCCAATGATCTTGAATTTGTTTGTTTTCTCACCAAATACTTGGTGATCACACATTTTGCAGCCATTATTCAGCAAGATGTTGACCCAGCCATTTTTTCACTTGAGTTCTTACATGGGATGCTTTTCATTTGAGTCTTTCATGTGTGCAAATTCTGTACAAACTATTGACATTCATTGAATTTATGTTATTTTCTCGTCTCCAGTGGCTGATTGTTTCCCCATTCCTCTTATCCTTCCTTTCTCCATCATATTTCAGGTCAGTCGAGAACACTATCAACGTGTTAAGAACAGCATGAAGCATAATAGTAATAGCATACAACCCAGGTCTCTGAGCAATGTCTTAGGTGATGTGGAAAATCTCCATGTACAGCCATTTGAATTTTATGAGGAAGAAGAACGTCAAAAATTACATGACCACTGGTTAGTTTGTGGAGAAAAACATTTCTTCTAGTATTATCGATCTCCACATTAGTTCTTAGTGAGTGTTTGTACAGGCTGCAGCTGGCAAATAGGGATGTCCCTGCTGGTTTTGCAAAATGGATAAAGAGACGTTCACAAGAATTGCATGTGAGAATATCATTAGGTCAAGAAATGGAACAAAAACTGAATGTCCAAATTAAGGTCTGTCTTAGGAGTGCATCTTATCTTATACATCCAAGTTCAGAGAATCTGTTTGAATTACCTGATGATTTGTTTTTACTTGGTTTATCAGGGTGAAGAGAAAATGAGTTCTGATGGGATCTTTCCAGAACGAACTGATTGTAAAGAAGCAGAAGAGAGAACTAACTCTGATGGGATCTTTGCAGAACAAACTGATAATAAAGAAGCAGAAATTATACTCTCAATGGAAGTAGAGGTTTGTACTTTTAGCTTTTCTCCCCTTTGTCTTTGAGGGGTCAATGGGGTTTATCTCATCACTTTTTTGAGGAATCGGTTTTGAAGATGGTTCAATGTTTCTGACATTTTTTTTTCTTTTTGCTTTTTCTAATGGAAGTTCCAGATACTTTATCTTATTTGTCTAATTGTTAATTGTCTATGTTTGCTCTAGGCTGACCAGCAGGAGGACAATGAAAAATCTGATCGGTTGATAGAGAAGCAAATGGAAAGAGAAATAGTAAATAATGAGGTTTCTCTACAGTCAGAGGTCAGTTATACCAGTAGTCAATATAAAACAATTGTACAGACGTGAAAAGGCCTCCCCTATAATTCTTACCAACTCTTGTATGTTGAAGGGAAGATGGGTTCCTAAGTTGTCTAATTATTAAAATATCCAAGTTTGCTCTAGGTTGATAAGCATGAGAGTGTGGATGAATCTGATGGGTTGATAGAGAAGCAAATGGAAAGAGAAATACTAAATAATGAGCTTCCTCTACAGTCAGAGGTCAGTTATACTAATAGAAAAATAGGCGAATTCTTACCAACTCGTGTATGTTGAAGGGAAGATGGCTTTCTTAGTTGTCTAATTGTTAAAATGTCCAAGTTTGCTCTAGGTTGATCAGCATGAGGGCGAGGAAAATTCTGATGGGTTGATTGAGAAGCAAATGGAAAGAGAAGTACAAAATAATGAGCTTCCTCTACAGTCAGAGGTCAGTTATAACAAGAATAGAAAAACAATTGTATAGAGGCAAATTCTTACCAACTCGTGTATGTCGAAGGGAAGATGCTTTTTTTAGTTGTTTAATTGTTAAGTATCCAAGTTTACTTTAGGTTGATCAGCATGAGGGCAAGGAAAAATCTGATGGGTTGATCGAGAAGCAAATGGAAAGAGAAATTCTGAATAATGATCCTATAAAGTCAGAGGTCAGTTATACCAATAGAAAACAAATGTATAGAGGCGAGTTCTTACCAACTCGTGTATGTTGAAGTGAAGATGGTTTCTTTTGTTGTGTAATGTTAAAATGTCCTAGTTTGCTCTAGGTTGATCAGCATGAGGGCAAGGAAGAATCTGATGGGTTGATCGAAAAGCAAATGGAAAGAGAAATACTAAATAATGAGCTTCCTATACAGCCAGAGGTCAGTTATACTAATAGAAAAAGAATTGTATTGAGTCGAAAAGGTTTATTTAGCAACTCGTTTATGCTGGAAGGTGGTCTTTCTGTCTCATTAAATACAAATAAATGAGTGGCAGAAACTTCAGTCGAGAGTTTTTAGTTCTATTATAATTTGCCTGAGAAGATTTTTTTTTAAAGTTCTCCTATGTTCTTTGATAAGATTCAAATAAACTCTTTGGTTATATGATTGTCAGGATCAGGAGGGAGGAGAGTCTGCAAGCTTATTTGATGAACAAACTCCTGATAGCACAGCTAACACTGATTATGATGACGAGTCTCTCCCTGTCTCACTCAGTCAGGATCTTGATCATGTTTCACTTGATGAGAGCAATCAGTTAGGTCACTTTAAGCTGGATTCTAACGAGAACAATATAATCCAGCAGGCAGATGAAGTTTCCCCAACTGTATCAGAGTATCCAGAAGGGTTGAATAGTGTAGATGTTCCTGTTGATCAAGGGGATCCTCTTGCTTCTACCAGTGATGGTTGGCCAGCAATTAGCATAGCTGCCTCTTATGGGTGTGCCACTCCCATAAGTCATGAATATTCTTCTGCCGAGGAGTTGTCATTAGGGCATCCTCGAGTTACTGAAGAGCGAGCCGCTAGTCTTATTAATCTGGAAGCTGTCCCAACAGGAAAGGATGCTGGGAGGGATATGTTGCCCAGAGAACCCAGTGCCATTTCTCTTTTTGGTTCATACCCTCAGAACAGGAATGAAATATTCCACCCGTTTTTCAAGGATCCAGATAGTTCATCTTACAACCATGAGCAGAGACAGTCTCCTCTGGACTTCCAACCAGCAACCAATCTGATGGTGCAGCAAGGTCAATATTCTGGTCATTTTAGGGAGCAGCTTCATGTGCAGTTACCAATTGAGCTACGACACAAGGGGATGAATGATCTCCTCATGCATCAGAACTTTCAGGGGAATCTATACCCAGATGGAAGTCGATATTCTCTCCCTAGGCATGAACAGTTGAATGTTGGCATGCAAGATTGGGCCATCAATTCTGTTCATGTGTCGACACCGCCTCAAACTCATCTAAGCAGTGGAGACTTGTTAAGTCAGAATTGGTTCTCTGGAGAGAATCATGCCCGTGGGAGCTGGTCTACTTTCGGAGGTGTTGGTGGTCCATCTCAGAGCATTGGAAGCGTAAACAACTCAGATCAGAGCTTGTACAGTGTTTTATCTGAGTGTAACGCACTGCATCAAAGTGGCTCGTATAATGTATCAGGCTCAAGAGAACGGTTGATCCCTTCAAGGAACTATGGTGAGATAGCCGTGGGAGTTCCCACAACGAGCAATGCCTCACAGCAGCAAGCTGTTTCCCTTAGTTACATGAGTAGCCAGGAAAGTCCTAGCGGCCTTAAACCCAATGGTCTTGGATGGACGAGCATGTCTACTCAGAATCCAGGGTACCATGATTCGATGGGCAAACCATTCTTGAGGCCCTGGAATCCATAGGGATGTTGTGTTGCACAAGGCTACAAGAGTCGTCGGGACAATAATTGATGTAAATTTTTACATTTTACACCACAAGATGTAGGCGGCTATGTTCATGCAGCCGGATTTTATTGCAGTTGTTTTTGAGTTGAGACTGCTGCAAGTCTTTTGTTTTCTTGATGATGACCAAGCCTGGGGGCATTTTGTACATACATACATTAGACAAATCTAATGTCGGTGTATATACTAGATATTTATTTATGGATATAGGGGAAGATTGGTTTAGTTATGGAGGTTGACTAGTTCTTTAAGTAGACTAGATATATTTAGTAGCTAATGTTTTGGCGGCTAAATAAAATGTCCGGTATGTACTTATTGGTATACGGGATTTCTGTTTTATTTTTAGCTTAGATCATTGTAGAAACACTACCAGCGATGTAGCTTGATTCAGTAACCCTTCATTAAATTAAAATTAACGAGAAGAGCGGGGTGAATTATGTTTATAAAATATTTTACTGATCATTTTGAGTGAATAATCAATCATATTATATTATACTTACAAATAGTAGTAAAGAAGAAGAGGCAAAGGGTAGGACCTACCGTAAAATAAAAATAATGAAAGAGGGAAGAGCCGAAAGACAGGACCCACTTGTGTGCAATTAAGGGTGTGTTTGGTATGCACGATTTTTAATTTTTCCTGGTTGACTTAAAAATGTTTGAAAAATCAACTCATTTTCTTCAAATTTAAAAGAAAAATAACTTTCCTCCAAAATTAAGGAAAATATTTTTCAAAACTCTACTTCATCCTATACCCTACCCATACCCGACCCTCCCATTAAAAAATACTTTTTGGGAAATATTTGTAGTTTTAAAAAATTCCGTCAAAGAAAAAATTGTTTTTGGCAAATATTTCATTTTTTACTCCAACCCCCATCCCCCCCTCCCCCAAACACACACACACACAAAATTTTTCTATTCAAATTTTAATTTTTTTTTTATGCCGCCACCCTCACCCCCCCCCCCCCCCCCCCCGCGTGACCCCATCAATTTTTTTTAAAATTATTTTTTGAAAAACGTTTTCCTGGGTCAGGTCCTGGGTCAAATCTCAGGATCGGATTTTGGAACGGTCATCAGGGTTTTATCCTAGTTTGAGTGTCGGGTCGGGTCCTAGATCAATTATCGTGGTTGATTTTCGAATCATAAATTATTTTTCTAAAGAATATTTTTTATACTCAAGCCAAAATAAATTTATCAACCAAACATGAGAAAATAAGTTAGAAATCCACTTATCTTCCAAAAAAACATTTTGTTTCCTACCAAACACATCCTAATACTTAATAATTTCGTCGGTTGAAATGATCCTACCGTTACACTTACACCTCACTTTTTATTTCCTTCTTCGTTAGCGTCGCCTCAAGTGAAAAGAGCGATTTGATCCTCTCCTTGTTTGTGTGTTTGGAATCTTTTTGCGGAAATGGAGAGGAAGAAAGAGGTGATCCGATTGGAGCGGGAGTCTGTTATTCCAGTCCTCAAACCCAGGCTCATCATGGCCCTCGCTGACCTTATAGGTAATCCAATTCTACTTTCTGCTAATCATCACTCAATCTTTTTCTTTCTCCTTCCTATTTTCCGGTCCTGAAACCCCCTTTTCCCTTTTCTCTAGTACTAATCTGATAATTTTAAGTTTCTCTTCACCGGGCCTACTTTTTTCTGTTTACCAATTATTGCAGTTAAACCTACGATGTTACTCCTAACCTTGCTGTCTGTTAAGGTTTTTACTCTTTATTTGAAAATTTTAATGCAATTTGACCTTCCCCAGATTAACTTTTGTCTGAAACTTCCAAGGTAAGCCAGGTGACTTGTCTCAATTAACTACTGTTTCAGTAGAAGACACTTCCACTCAACTCTAAAGTTTAACACTTTTCTCTTGAATTTGTAACTAGTTGGAGCCGGTTATGTGAATCCTCATCAAATATTCTGCTCCATTTGGTCTTGTTTTATTCCACTAAATAAATAGTCTTTTAGGGCAAATATGGGGTTCTCTATAACCAGGAATACTTTAAATCTTACACTTCCCTTACATGGTCACACAGGCTTAATATACTCTAATCCACCTATAAAGGCTTCCCATCTTTCATCAAGTCCTCGTGGATTCTAAGAAATTGTACCTCTTTTGAAACAACTTCCTTCTATGCGATTTGTTGTATAGGTAAGTAGAAATTATATTCAAAGTTAAAACAATGCTACTAAGTTAGTGCTGGACAATTCAAATGGCGGGGAGGCCCTTTATCAAAAGGAGGAGGGATTCTGTGCACCCTCCTTGTGAATTTTACACAGACACTTAGTTTTGACGTCTTAAATGTTATAACTTTTTACACAAATGTAAGTTTTACCTTCTGTATAGACATAAATCATGTCTCTGTCTTTCTTTAAAATTGTTTTCATTGCTACCTTTATGAAAATTGTATAATGTTGCATGAATCTGTGTGGTTCTAGTTCTCTTTAATGTTTTTTTTTATATTTGATTATTCAAGTAACAGTTTTGATTTGAGGTTCTAATGATCCCAACTTCCTCCTTGCCCAGAACATAGTTCTGACCGGGCTGAATTTCTGAAGCTTTGCAAGAGAGTTGAGTACACAATTCATGCTTGGTATCTTCTACAATTTGAAGATCTCATGGTAATACAATTTTATGTTGCTTTTCATTTGATCAAATATGCTTTCTCCATCATTTTACGGCAAATGAATTTAATTTGCTGCTGATGATATTGTGTTGATGAATAGTATTGTGTGATTGCAGCAATTGTATTCCTTGTTTGATCCTGTGAACGGGGCTCAAAAACTGGAGCAGCAGAAGTTATCTCCAGATGAGATTGATGTTCTTGAACAGAATTTTTTGACATATTTGTTTCAGGTAAAAAGATGTAGCTTCTTCTTAATTTTTTTCTCTCTGGTATCTGAGCCAGCTATATGAGCTGTTTAGATTCATAATATAACATGCAAGCCCAAACTGCCTAACCAGTGTACTTGAGAGATAGAGACTTGAGTTTTCATTTGTTGGCCCTCAAAGATCCGCAGGTGTCACTCATAACACATGGCAGTCGGATTTCTTTTGATCAACTTCAAATGAAAGCATTTCTTTAAGACAAAAGAGGACTTTCTCGAGACTAAAAATTAAAAATAAATAATAATGATAGAAGAGATAATTCAAAAGCCACTTCAGTTTAATTTCAGAGAAGGGTTTAGTTTTAGCATTTATATTCTTTTCCTAGAAATTTGTTCTTCGCTAGGACAGGGTTGAGATATCTTTGTTAAACACTTTGAACAAAGGTGACATTCTTCTATGAAGGATTTGGAAGTTGATTGAATCTTTCCCCCATTTTGTCTGGCCATTGACTGATCTAGTAAGTTTAAGTTAGAGAAAGTCGGAAACATGGCTGGTGGTGGAGGCTAAGCCTATCTCAAGAAAATGCCACTAACTCTGATGGTAGGGGAAGTCTGTCACTATCTCATTCTTTCTGACTCCCCATCAGTATTTACCCAAATGGGATTTTGAGCACCCATGTTGGACCTATCAGTGACCACCATCAACTGCTATAATCGATTGTATCCGCATATCTTTAGTCATGACATTAGTGTTCCAGTTAAAATTTATAAAAACTCCAATCTCATATGTGTGTCTGTGAGTTTATATATAATCTTCATTTGTTTATATAATAATATCTCTGTGTGTGTGTGTACCATGGCCCAATAGTTCAACAGAAAAAGGGAAGTTAGAATAGTTTCGATCTATGGCCCTGTATGGAGGGGCTGACCTTTACGAACCTTCAAATGAAAACCGTACCTGTGGACAATGTGCTATCCTCTTTCCTGGCCCTCGAAAAATATCTATAACAACAAAAAAAAGAATCATACATCAGTTATTAAGTGTAAGATCCTCTGAAATTGAAGAGGCTGTATCACATTGCATAATTGATCTAGCTTCCTCATTGGATACACATCAACTTGTTAAACATTGGAACTGTAGGAAGATGAGAGGTATCACAGTGTGTCCTTCTATTTTAGAGGTAGCCATTAACATTGAGAGAAAAACTTCTTGGTTTTACTTAGGGGAGGAAGACAACTAGTGAGGTGAATGGTAAGAGGTCTAGCTGTTTTTCTTCAGGAAGTGGGAGTTTCTTCTTCCTTCAGTTTTCCCATCTTTTCCTCTTCTTCTTTGTTATTCTTAACAAATATTTCCCATGTGCAAAATTGAATGGAAGGGGAATATTTCCGTGTTTCAATCATGGTGGCTATATATTAATTTATTTATCTCTAAAGTTGTTTCCCATTATTTTGCATAGCGTTCTCTTGCTATTGAGACTAAGCTTGTACTGGATTTTTAAACTTGCATCAAGCTCTAAGAGCAGTGAATTCTGAACGTTTCTCCATATCTAGCTGGAGGATTAAGGGAAATGGGGATGGCATTTGTGTTTTTTTGCGTGTCCTTATTTGATTATCCAGTTTTTATCCTCATTTCTCTTATGCTGATGCAGATTATGGACAAAAGTAACTTTAAAATAGCGAGTGATGAAGAGATTGATGTTGCACATTCCGGGCAGTATCTTCTAAATCTTCCAATCAGTGTTGATGAATCTAAGGTTTTTAGTTGCTTCTGCATATAATTTGGTTCAAACAATTATTGATTCTCTTGATATAGTTTCTTTTTGACATGTTGACTTTGCGATTCATTCTACCTTATCCTGGATGCAGCTTGACAAAAAACTTTTAAAGAAGTATTTTGCAGAGCATCCTCACGAGAGCCTTCCAGAGTTCGCTGACAAGGTATCACTCTTACTGAAGCTTCAAGTCGCTATTTAAATTGAGGCGTTTACTCTTTCTGGGACGCTTGGTATGGAGTTAACGGCTTCCCAGATGCTAGGTCTACAAGTGTAGTTTCTGGTTATAATTATGAAATTTTCACTGAATTGAATATTTGCCAATTTGTTTCTTGTTGGTGTGGAGTTCAAGAATGCAACTTGATTCCTTGATATCCACATATGATTTCCATACCTCTGCTTTGATTTGCAACAATTAGGATCGACTTTTAAAGTGTGTGTATCACGTCTACCTCTACATGTGATGCTGTGAAGCTATTATTTCCATCGTGAGATTAGGTGTCAGGGATGTTCATTGCTGCCGCTTGCTTTTTTTGGCAGAAGGAATTCGCACTCCAATCAAAAAGCGAACAAAAGTTTGCGACCATTTAATTCAAGGAACTTCGTTGTTATATTACTTTTACTTTG